CTTAGACTTCTCTAAAGCTTTTGACATGGTATGGCACGATGGGCTAATACAAAAACTTTAAAAAATAGGACTCAAAGGTCCGATAAAAAACTACATTCAGGACTTCTTAAACAATCGTAAAATAACCGTGGGTATAGACCAAACTCTATCGGACCAATGTCCCCTAGAAAATGGCACTCCACAGGGCAGTATCCTCAGCCCCACCCTCTTCATTATAATGCTAAACGATCTATTCGAGGGCTTATCCCCTAAAGTAAACAGATCAAAATTCGCGGATGATGGAGCCATTTGGATCCGCACTAAAAGCATGAAAATGGTCCAAAATTTACTCCAAAAATCTCTTAATAAAATACAACAATGGGCTGATAAATGGGGCTTCTCCCTTAACTCAGAAAAAACAACAGGAATAATATTCAAACATAAAAGCATGAAACCCGCCTCCCAAATCCTCCAGCTAAACAATCAAACAATCAAATTTCAAAAACAAACCAAATTCTTAGGACTTATTTTCGATGAACATCTCACCTGGGATGCTCACATCCAAAGCCTAACAACTAAATGCAGTAAAGACCTAAACACCCTAAGATGCCTAACTGGCTCTAACTGGGGAGCCTCCAAAGATACCCTCCTCTCTCTCTACATATCACTAATTAGATCAAAACTAGACTACGGCTGCGCCATATACAACACTCTAAACAACTCTCTATCTAAAAAACTTTACTCAATACAATATCAGGCTCTCAAACTAATTACACGCACCCAACATGGCACCTCCTACACCTCACTTCGGGCCTTAACAGGAGAAATGCCACTAAGTCTACGCAGGGAACAGCTAAGCTTAAATTTCTGGGCCGCGTCCCAATCAAACCCTCTCATCCAAAACTTAATTAACCAAAACATCAGCCCCAAAGACCAAGCTCTAGCTCGTAAACACCCCTTACTTACCCAATATCCCAAAGAATAACAAACTACCTAAATGAACACCAAATTAAAAATCTTAAACAAAACTGCAAACAATCAAATATCTTCACCCCTAAACTTAAAATACCTAAAATAGACACAACACTAGCTAGCCAAATAAATAAACAAACCGACCCAAACATAGCTAAAACTACCACACTAGCATACATACACGAAAATTGGCCAAATTGGGTCACATTTACACGGACGGATCCTCAGATCCGACCTCCAAACACACAGGTTTCGGAGTCCAGACCACACAACCAACTAAAACCACACAATCCTTCCGACTCCCAAACAACCAATCAATATTCACGGCAGAACTAATGGGCATGGCCTCAGCCCTCCATAATCAAGAATCCAAAAACCACCAAAAAAAATCCTAATACTTACCGACTCCCTAAGTGGACTGCAAGCCCTCCAAAACAAAAATACCAAAAACCGACCTAAATTAATAAATCAAATACTTAAAAGCTCCAACGACCTAACTAAGGCAGGCAAACAAATAACCTTCTTGTGGATACCCGCCCACGTAGGAATATACGGTAATGAAAACGCCGACAAAGCAGCTAAACTATCCCTCAAAATCCCAGAAATAAGCTTAAACTTACCCATCTCAAAATCAGAAATTAAAAGTGTAAACAAGCAAAAAATTACCAAAAAATGGCATAACCTATATCTAAACTCAAATAGCCAAATAAAAAAAGTGCTCAGCAAACCACTAACCAAACCAAAAATTCTCCATCCATCAAAAAAAATCGACAGAGTAATCACTAAACTCCAAACAGGACACACCAACCTAAATAACCACCTAAAAAAAATTAAAAAACACACTACGGGTAACTGCCCACAATGCAAACAACCAGAAACCCCAGAACACGCACTCATCCACTGCACACACTACCTAACACATCGAACCGCATTACAAACCACCCTCAATCTAAACAAGGCTCTCACTCTAGAAGCAATACTAAACCCACAAAATAAACTAGAAAACTTCAAGGCCTTAGGCGTATTCTTAATAAAAACGGAACTAATAAAACGCATCTAAAAACACAATAACCTACCAAATCAGAATCACATAAACAAACAAACATCCACCATACCCAGCTCCCTTAGTTCTCCTCCCCAACCCTATCGGCATCTATTCCAAATCTCAAAATTCCCAAATTCTATATAAGCAACCCCTAAAACCCCCTCTTGGGTTGCACAGACCACTTTCGCCCCTTTCGGAAACACATTAAATGGCCTGGCCGGGCCCGTGTGCGAAATACGCATCAGTCGGAAAGCGCACGTTAAATCTCCAAAGTAAGTAAGTAAGTAAGCATTCATTCACCTGATGATGGAGTAAGCATATACTCCGAAACGTTGTGTTCCTCATAATATAGAAGCTGACATCCATAAATTCTCTTCCTTAAATTTCATACAAGATTTGTGAGGTGAGGTGAAATGTGGTTTAACGTCACATTCAGGATTATTGCACTCATAAATAGCATGCGAACGTGGCATGTGGCTACTTATACTCGTCCGGACTTCAGTGCTATCCCATTGAGATGCTCAGTATACTGACTCCGAGCAGACTATTCCTTGTTTTATCCCCGCATTGCCGGGCGCCACGCAGGGTAACAAGTACATGTACCATGTTTTAATTTAAGTTGGTATGACGCGTTCAGGAGATCGGACCACCAACCTTGAGCTCTCTGGGTAGACATATAATTCGATGAATGCAAAAAGAAAAGAAAACCAATTACAAAATCGCTAATAGTTTGCCCTACTTTCGTCATGTTTGCGGCACAAGTTCTGATGTTGTTACACATCGTGACATGCGCAAGAATACATGAAAAACTTCAAAGCTCGATTTCCACGCATCCAACATGAAAAAACACTTTAGTAAAACAGTAATCTATTACCAAGTGATCGATGTGAACTGTGAACCCTTTAGTCCATATTTAACAATAAGTATGCCGTTTTTGCAAATGTCTTCACAAAATCGTCCTAATTGATGGCGGCCGGACCAGACGAACCAGTGATTGATATTATGAGCATTGTCCCACGCCGTCGAGGTACAGTGACAACATATCAACCATGTCACTGAGGACCCTGACAACCTGATCCATTCGGGTGCCTCGCACAACACGTAACTAGGGACCCATCTAGCCTGGAACCACCATAGCAAATACCCGTGAAGATCTGGGTTAAAATTGTTCTTCAGCAACCCAGGCTTTTCGCAAATGGCGACTAAGGGATCAGGTTGTCAGGCGCGCTGACTTGTGGTTGATGATTGTCATCGTATCCCGATGGCGTTAATCAAAATTGATGTCAATCACTGGATTGCCTGGACGACACCTGATTATTTACAGACCGCGTCATTTAGCTTGAATATTGCTGAGTGCGACGTTAAACAACAACAAGAACATAAAAATCTTATATGCACGAATGCGCATATCATTTCACTGAAATGTGAATCGTCTGTATCTGAAGGGGGTACACTTATTACTCATGCATGAAATAACAGTCACCAGACCATACATTGTTGTTTTAAGACTGTAGACAGACAGACAGACAGTTTATTATGGTCTCACCTCATTACAATGATTTATACATACTTTTAAAATACAAAAATTTATATCTCAAATACATATCATATGTAAAAGTATACAAGTATAAAATGTAACGAGCCACCCTATACAGTGTTACGAGAGACTTTTCATAAAAAGAGCATATTAAAATATAAATAAAAGGTACATAAACTACAACGCATATAAAAGTAAAACCATGAATTAAGAATAAAGGCAATCATATCTTTTAGATAAAATGTTAAAGCAGGTTTTGGCATTTAAATATATCACATGTTGGGAAGACAGGATAAACCTGGCTTTTCTCGGATCATCGAAATTCTTGAAATCGTCTTCTACATCGCAACATTTTCTTAACGGTTCTTCTCTTTCGGTTTCATAGTTAGGACATCTTAGTAATACGTGCTCTTCAGGCGAAATGGGAACAACCCGAATTGTTTACGTTTTCGGACGGCATTGTTGACACAATGATTATCTCACATAAGAAATGACGTCAGAGCTGAATTGTCGAATGTATTACCCGACAGTCATAATCAGTGCATTTTTCTGAAGGGGAGTTCAAAATAATGGGTAATAAAGAATTATTTACACTCGCGTGAGTGTCATGCTGATATTACAATACTCATGTAAGAATTCAGGTATTGCTCTCGCTCTCGCTCGGGAAATACAAGAATTCTGTCACCTTCCGTAAAATAAGTATGACACACATGCTTGTATAATAATCTCTATTTCATGTTTATGTAACAATTTAGTAAATCGATACTAAACATCTGGTAAACCTTCCGTTTCAGACGGAATCGGGTTCTCTTGTCTTAAAACAGTATAATATCCTTGAAAGCGCATAAATATCCCGATATATAATATTTGTACAGAAATGTGTGACCAGTTAAAACAGGTTTTCCAACAACAACACCCACATAGCGGCTCTGTACGTATATACTACTTGAAAGAACTTAAAGAACACCCGATTGTTTCATGCTACCATAGTTAATCATACGAAAGAGAATTATTGAAAATAAATTGTCCCAGAAAATGCTTAAAAGTATATTTATGCTGCTAAAAAATGCCTGGTTTTGAAGCTGTAGCTGAACAAAATATCTTGTCTTTTCGAAACAGCTATTGGTAAATAGTAATAAACTATATGAGGTGTCAATGGAAGAGAAGAACCAGTCTAGATAATCTACCGAGACAGATCAGACTTATATGAATAGACCACTGAAAATATGTGATGGCACCAGGTGTTCCCGAACATAGTAAGCATGTCCTGCCCTACTGGTAGTACCCGTTATTCACAAAATACGCATAAAAAAGGTACGTGAATTTTTACAGTGCACAATACACAGGCATACATCTCAATCACAGCTCTCCTGCTGACACCTGTGCCATCTTTTCAACTGTATTTTTAACGTATGAGAAATCAATAGTATTACTTCTGGAATAAACAACTTTAAGCGACATCCTCACCTGTATTTTGTCGACATGCCTTGCACACCCCACCACCTTCATGCCATGCTTGACCAGTGCCTTGACCAGCCCCGCCCCAATACCGGCCGAGGCTCCTGTCACGAGAGCTACACGTCCCGACCACCGCTGCATGTCTGAGTGGGTGATGGCTGACGACTGCAGCAACCTGTCCCTAGCCTTTTATGAAGGGATGTTTCAGCTGCACGCATCGGTGTGCGCATCTGCACCTTACTGTCAGAGACTGCCTCTGTGGCATAGTGGATAGAGTGTCTGCCCGGAGAGCTGAAAGTCGGTGCTTTGTTAATGACCGGTACCGAATAGACTAACCAACCTGTTATTATCAGTGATACCTGCGTCTTTTCGGTGAAACCAAAGCCCGACAACTGGTAGTACCAGAATGTGTACTTTACTAAGAAAATGCTATCCCAAATGTAACACTTGTTATATTTGACTACTTTCTAAGTGGCATGTATTCATGGTTTTCAATTGATGCTGATCAAAGGGGCACACGGAGTACGTGATCTGGACGACTAGTTGTCGGACTACCATTGTTGTGGAAGCCTCGGTGGCTGATTGGGTTTGATCGCTGATTTGTGTGCTGGCGATTGGTTGCCTCAATCCGATGGGGTTCAACCCCCCAAAACGTATAAGACATTTTGCTTTCCCGAGAAACCAGATGGGATTCCAAATCATTCAGAAATATTGAAAAGAGCAGGGGTGATACGTGTTCTCCCTCACGGACACCATAGTGGCATAGGAAGAGGTCTGAAATTTCTTTGTTAAACTTTACACATGACTTTATATTTCTTCACATGTTTACGAGGGTGAGGAATCTTCCCTCTATACCATGATCTGCCCTCTGAAACCCAAACCCTCCAAACACCGCCACATGCTTTAGAAACATCTATGAGAGCACTGTATAATTTTCTTTTAGCATTTTTCAAACTGTGCACCTTCATATGTTTAATACATTTTGGTCAATAGCAGAAAAACCTTTGCGAAATCCTGCTTGAGATGTGATATCTAGGAATTGTTTTAATCTTATGTTACCTATACCAGTAAATAACTTTCCAAGACAGCTTAAAAAAGTAATTGGCCTTTTAGATTTGGGGTTTAGTAAATCCCCTTTGTTCTTTTATGTTGGTTTAATAATGCGTGTTACCTATGGTTTGGGTACGTTGCCAGTCGAAACGACAGGGTTAAACAAGTCAACATACAGTGGCCCTACAGTACCAAGGGAGTCTATAAGATAATCGTTCTCTTAAAGATCTATAGAGGAGGTCCTCCATGCAATTAATCGTGCTAAATGTGGTAAGGCTGCTGGGTTAGATTTTATACCTGCCAAGGCATTAAAAAATAACTACTGTATCGATGTATTATTGCGTATATTCTCATATTGTTTTAACAACAATGTTTGCCCTAATATTTGGCGTCATAGCTTAATGTATCCTATCAAAAAAGCTGATACCGACCCACGTGATCCATTAGGGTACCGCGGAATTTCTTTAATATCAATACCATGTAAGTTATACGCAGATATTTTAAATACTCGTTTTTCTAGATGGTTGGAATTAAATGATATTTTGGCAGAAGAGCAAAACGGAACACATTTATACTTTATTCTCCATTATCAAAAACCGTAAATCTGTTAAACTTCCAACTTACGTCTGTTATATCGACGCCATGTAAGCATTTGATCGTGTGAACCGCGACTGTCTTTGGTATAAATTACATAGATTGGGAGTAAACGGAGAGTTCCTCCGATCAGTTAAATCGCTATATGAAAATAACAGCTCTCGGGTTTTTATAAATGGTAAAATGACTGACAGCTTCGCTATATTTTGCGGTGTAAAACAAGGTTGTGTTCTGTCGCCTATGCTTTTTCTGTTTTTATCAATGATTTAGTTAAAGAATTTAATGATCTTAAATGCGGAATAATGTTGATAATTCTATAATCAGTATATTATTGTATGCCGACGATATCGCTCTTTTAGCACCCGATGAAAAGTCAATACAATCAATGTTAACCTGTGTCGACAGTTGGTGCAAGAAATGGCGCCTTCAAATAAATAGCAAAAAAAACAAAAATTGTTCATTATCGTAACATATCCTCTGTTAAGTCATCCTATCACTTTACTTGTGGTGCGGACAATATAGAAATTGTTCATTCATATAAGTTTCTTGGGCTTTGGTTACATGAAAACTTAGATATGAATTATACAGCAAAAGAAATATCTAAATCAGCCAGTAGGGCACTTGGGGTAATTATCAGTAAGTTTAAAGCGGTGGGCGGCATGGATTATGATGTATTCACTACTTTATACAATAACTTAGTTCAGCCAATTTTATCATATGGTTCAGCTATTTGGGGCACCAAAGAATTTAGTTGTATTAACGCTATCCAAAATAGAGCTTGCCGCGCTTTTTTGGGAGTAGGCAACAAAACACCTAATTTGGCAGTAAGGGGGGAAATGGGATGGTCATCTAACTATACAAAGCAAAAAAATGAGATGGTACGTTTCTGGAAAAGGCTGAGTTTGTCAGATGAAAACAGGCTCATGCATATAGTGCAAAGATGGTCATCCAAATTTCGTAAGTCATGTGATAATTCAGTTAAGAAATTATTCGATGTGAAATCAATTACTTCTGTTATAACTAATCTATTATCTTGTGACTTCGACCATGCTAGAAATATACTCATCAATAAGGATAAGGAATTATGGTTGGAACAGCTCTGGGATGACAGAGGATTAACAAATGGTATTAAGTTAAGAATATATCGACTGTTTAAAACGTCTTTAAGTACCTCCAAATATGTCACTAATTTAGCCAACAGAGAACATCGTAGTATATTTGCTAAATTTAGATGTGGTACCCTCGCTCTGGAAATTGAACTTGGTCGTTTCTTGAAACCAAACATTCCCTTACATAATTGTATTTGTAACCACTGTAATACAAACAGTATCGAAGACGAGGTTCATTTCTTAACAACGTGTAATCTTTATGCAGATCAACGAGAATATGTTTGGGGTTATGCCTCGTCTCTTTGTCCAATTTTTTGTCTCATGACCCCTATAGATCAAACGACATTCCTTATGAAGTGCGATAATTTATCCTATTCTGTAGCTGCACTAATTAAATCCATGTACAAACGTAGTTGATATAACAACGTGTCATAAACCCATTCTAGTATTGTATGCCTCTGTATATTTTATAAAATATGTCATTGTATGGCAATGCTTGTTATAAATTTACGAGTATTATACTTTTATCACGTATTTTGTGCACCATTAATAAATAAATTCATCACTGTCCGCTCTAACTATTTTAGCACTTGCAGTGCTTTTAAGAACATTAGTGTCTAATAGGCCCACGCTTTTATCTTTTAATATATTTTACCTACTGTATAAATTGATGTAATTTTATGTATACACCGCTGGACACTTAAATAAACTATTTTTCTTCTTCTTCTTCTTCTTCTTCTTCTTCTTCTTCTTCTTCCTCTTCTTCTTTTCTCTATACCTACTGATTATTTACGCTTCAGTGATTTAAGAGCTCTACTTAAGTTCATCTTTGATAAAATCTTTATCTAGAGCGAATATATCATATTTGTTGTGATGAATTACATCATCCTGCAGATCTGTATCATTGTGATTTGATGCGTGAAACACATTCACCTCAGACCATTGGCTGGAAGTGTCACTCGTATTTTCGGGATTTATTACATTCCAGAACTCTCTAGGAGCCTGCTCAGCTTTACTTCTCAGTAACCTGCTCCTGTCAGTGTTGTGTTTGTTGGTAAAGTTGTTAGGACATTTCTTGTATGTTTTAGCGGGATGTTTCTAAAAAGTCCTCAAAAAGATACCAGTTCACCCATACAGAGGTACTGTGACATGAGAACTTATACACGGTAACAGTGTTGCATATTTCCTACACATCCGTTTGTATATATATGGTCTCCTTAAATACGGTCAACCGCGAGATGGAGATTCCTTTTGGTCAGATCGTACAGTAAACCAGTATTACGTTACCACTTCATTAAGGCGTCAGTAACATCATCAACTTACGTTCCTATATCAGCACTCGAATGACACGCTCTACACAGCCCAGTGCACATTTCCTGTCGAGTTATCAGCGTTGTAACAAGTGACTGAGACATTGTAATTAGTGTAATCATTAATTGCTAGAGACCAAATAGGGGACAATGCTTATGTTTTGATTTTTGTTTCCTTTGTTTGTTTTTTGTTTAACGCCGCCCTCAGCAATATTCCAGCTTTATGACGGCGGTCTCGAGTCTGGACCAGATAATCCAGTGATTTACATCATGTACATCGATCCACGCTATTGGGATCGATGACATGCATCAACCACGTCAACGAGCCTGACCACCCGATCCCGTTTGTCGCCTTTTACGACAAGCATATTTGCCTTTTACGGTAAGCATGGGTTGCTGAAGACCTATTCTACCCCGGAATCTTCGCGGGTCCAATGCTTATGTAAATACCCACATGCACATACATGCAACTCCTTATTGTCATGCCATCAAAACAAGTTGTAATTAACCATCAAATATATACAGGAGTCTTTAGCCACAAGGAATGCACTGAAACTATGTATTAACATTAAACTTAATTGTTGAACAAGTCGCAGAACGTACATATTGTGTATTTTAAATTAACTTACCTGAGAGATCTCTACTGATCTCCAGGTAAAGTGGTTACGTAAGGTAGGATGGGGTTCTCTTGTATTTCTTTGTCTTTAGTATCCTGGTCCATTTTACTTAATTGTGACATATTATTATTAGGTATAAGACATAGATGAGTGTATAACTGTTGGCTTCACCGTGGGGAGCCTGCGACACTGAGACGGGGTTTGTAGTTCTGTGCTAACATTTATGTGTGTATGTGTGTGTTTGTGTATAAGGTAACAATAACAGCTTATATATATATTTATATTGTTTTGGTGTGTATTTCATCATATAAATGGGATTTGTATCTGTAATGATATACTGATGGTTGTTCTGCCCTAACATCTATAAAATGTATGCTTGTACTTCAGAATTGACTTTCACTTTGTGTGAGTTCATTGGAGTATGAACCTTCATAGAGTGAGTTCCAAGCTGTATGAACGTCGGAGCGTGCTTCTGTCTCTATTTTGTATCTGAAAGGATCTAGATGTATACGCAATATTTAGTACTCTTGGCTTCATCTTTAAACTGACAGCCATACAACAACCATCTGTATCGCGGAATAAAATAGTTCCTCAAATCGAGAGATGACATGCACGTATGTATGTTCAACATGCTCTTCAGGAAAACTTTTGTAGTTTCTTAACAACATATGTATTCAAATAATATCCTCATTAGATGTGAAATGTCTGCTAAGAACTACCTCAGTAAGTCAGTCACAATGACAGCGCGTCGTAATGCATTTACATCAAGTACAAGACGTCAAAATGGCCGACACGATAAACGTGACTGGAGATATTTCAAAAGTTGTTAATGAACCTGTGGCGGTTACATGTTTTAGCCATCATTGATCACCTGGTCGATCATTGAAAGGGGATTAAAGATGTGTTAAACTGGACACTAAGGTAAATTGATAGATTGCTGTAGACACGGATCGAGTCGATACTTTCATAGTTTGGATGTGCATTTCTTCGTTTAGTTTACTATAGGTTCGGTCGCTGCGAGGATATTCGTCAACGATCATGCAGTCAAACTCTCTGACATTTCTCAATGTACACTGAAATGCTGAGTTCAAGATTAAAGGGTCTAAACGTTAATAAAGAACGTTTATGTATGTTTTCGTGCTAGGGAATTCCCAGGGGTTTCCCCAGGAATGTGGAAGTAGTCCGTCGGTGTTTACGTCATTTCAAGGACACGGTCTCGTCAAAAACGTATGAACGACAATTTCGCGGTCACGTGACCGACCTCTCGTTCAATGGAAAAGCGGTATATCGTGTAAACTTCAAATTAAAAAATTATTGTGTAATATCTGCTTAGATAAAGTGGTATACAGTAAATGCAAAATGTAATAATGTAATGGTATGTTTGTTTAATTGTAGATTCTTGTAATTATATACCAATAATCTTACTATATATGTTTTAGGATATATCGTTATCTCCCCATATTTCTGGTCTATCTGTGTATATCTGGGTTTGAATCTGTTGAGTTGTGAATATTATGGGTTTGCTAATTTATTCACATTAAAACATTACTAATTTATAAATATTAATACCACAACCATTTAAAATAAAACCCACACCACATAATTTCCATTTTAGTCTATGTTGTTTCAAACATACAACATGTAGTTTACATCTTTGTATCTCCTATTGTTATACGCATCTAAATTATCCAACATGCTATCTTTTTAGCACATACACGCAACTTACTTGTTTTACCATCATTTAGTTTGTGTACTATGCTTTGATTTTACATTTTATGTATGATCGGTGCACGATGCATCAGTTGTCATCTGCAGGCCTTGCTTACTTTCTTAAAAGTTTGGGTTGATACCTGAAAGCAAGACTGAAGTTGACCTAAGAGACAGGATAACCGGTGTGGCTGCCATTCAAGGAGCTACTGCAAGCTCTTTACCCTCCCATTCTGATCCATCCTCTCAGAGTTTGACGGGTTCATTCAGTGTAAACAACCACCTCGTTTGTTTTCTCTGGTGCTCCTACTGCTTAATGTCCTGTTTGGCTCTATGAGTTTGTCAACTTATGTATCTTTCTCTGAAGAAGAGATTACACAGTTTGTCAGGGGAGCTGGGGAAGGGATGTTGTGCGCACTGTTATGAGGCTTGGTCATTCGGCCTCACACCTCCGTCACAGAGCAAGGTGAGGCTCTGATGGCACCCTTTCATAATACAAGGCAAGGAAATAACGAAGATGCTATTATGTGGGGGTGTAGACGTGAGGACATGCTTGACATGCTTCTTACACATGGTCAGCAGGACAGGTCAAGCTCTGTGCTCTGCATTGTTTTCTGGTCCGAAATTAAACGAAAGGACTCTTCTGGCCACAGGTCGGGTGCCATAAAAGATTTGACAAGGTTCGTGTTGCCGTGAGACGGAGTAAGTACGCCCAGAAACAGAGGAAACTGGAGACCAAGAGGAAACCTATCAGGCCAAGGCAGTGACCCAGATAACGAGCCTTTGTTGGAAGTATCCACGTTGATTGGCATAAAAGGAGTTTTCAAAAGCCTTTTTTAGATACAGGTATTAACTATCCCAGAGACGTTACATCGTGGTTACTTATGTTCACTGGAGATAGAAATAATTTCACACAGAATGTGCAGATGGTGAAAGTTTGTCTTATAAAGGTTATGTTGACGTTCAATTGAAACGCTGAACCACTGATCATGATCCCTGATCATTCTTCTACTTGTCTGTTCTTGGTTGACCAAGACAGTCAGTATGATAAATCTGCACCTATCCTACTGGGAACAAACTATCTCATACCTGCTCTTCATTCATGCAGGGAAGTTGTCGGACCTAATTGCATCCAGCATAGCAAGATGCATACCCACCTGGTGTCTTTCACTTAGGTGCATTGTTTTGCGAGACAAAGATCTTATTCGGAATGATGGGAAACTTCGGCTATCGAAGCTGCGAACGGTCTAGATCAGTAATACCACCTAATACAACTGTGACAGTAACGACATCAATCAACAAATGATTGCCATACCGAGACACCCGTGACATAACCAACCCCCTGAAAGGGCTTCCATATCACCCGGACTTGAGAAAGAATCCAACCGCCTTCAACACAAGAAGACAGTTCAACTGTAGTTGTAACTCCCAAGTGTATCATTTGTGAAATTCAGCCAGTCCAGATTGAGAAGACAGTCCCTTTTGATTTGCAACAGGTGGTATCTGACACGAAAGAACACCCACTGGACAAGTTCAAAATTGTCTCCAAGATCACATATGAACAGAGGATGCTTCTTTAATAGTTTTTGAAGACTTCAGTGACATTTTTCCTACAGGGGACTTAGAGCGGCGCGTAAATAAAGTTTATTTGCACTTGTATCCTGTCTATCTATTGCAAAGGCTGAAACGAACATAAAGAGGAGGCGGAGCATTTATATACAGAGGCACGATATATGGTCTTTGGGGAAGAAATTACCTCCAAAATTACACGCTTGATCGCACAAGCCAACCCCTCCGTTCGCGCTCTGTGTACGTTCATGGTCGACTTGAAACGTTCTGCACAATGCTATCCTATCCTTCAACCTTTTTAATTCTTAGAGTTTCCACGCCCTTCGTATGAGTGTGATTAAAGGATTAAACTATACTCCTCTTTCTGTCAACAACGGAAATGTGACAAAGGTAATTTATATCACAAATGGAGGTCAATATTCGTTGAGAAAACGATGTGCATTGTTGTAAGACTTTTCTATGTTTAAAATATTGGCTGATCTCTACATAAAATGATAAGATCGAACTTACTTCGTTCCTTTTGGCGATATCGTGAGCCCATCATAACTTGCCTATATGTTCAACTCCGACAGTGACAATAGTTTCACAATGGAATGTGAATGTTTCTCGGAATATCAATTTGTGATTTCTGAGAAAGAAGAACAATTGAACCCCTGCATGTTTGTACCAGTGAATAAAATAATAGTGACGAAAATAACCAGGATGATCCCCATCTTGGACGCATGGATGACAAGTGATTACAAAACACAGATTGTTGAGTTTGTTTAATTTATTTTCTCCAAATCACAATGTCCCTTGAAGTCTTGAAATACCACAACAAATACACTGCAATCACCGTCTCTGTTACAAACACATGCAGCTGAGTACCAGATAAATGTTCTTCCTGATCATGTCAGTAGATGCCTTGACCAACCTTACTTCAGTAGCACCACTCTGGGTATGTCAACCAGCTAAGTAGTGTACACATATGCTTGTGTAACACTATCACTCATTTCAAATAGGTTGTTCAGTCACAATTAAAACGTTATCTTCAAGAGGTCGTTCATCGTTCATGTCTTGTTTTTGACATCCTTCGTTCAGCTAACTGGCTTCAGACGTAGGTTTCACCAGAAGGTCTATAATCTGGAAATAGGTTCATCATTATCATTTGTGTTATTAACCGTTTGTCACTGGCAGAATTTTGTCAGAGGAAGCATGTGACTCACCTCCATATGTTCTGGCGACTGCAGGGCAAATACAATTGTGCTGACGATGTCTTCCGTCTGGAGAGGCTGCTGGAGAGATGAAGGTGACAATACACACAGAACCCTCACCATGAAACTATTATCTTTATGTCTGTCATGCTCTTATTTATTTTATATGGGAGGAGAAAGATGCATTTGGTTACATGTATAAACTAAAACCCACATACTCCATTCAATGATGCGGTGTTGAGCGATGCCTGTTAAATGGGCAACTTGATTTTTGATGATGTTGAACTCAAAATGAAATTCGAAATATGACAATTTGAGTCATGCTTTGAAATAGCCATCCATATAAAGCTTTAACTTGTCAAAACAAGGTTACTTTCTAATGACAGCCGGCAAAGCAAAAGGCAAAATGCTAAAATTCAGCTACTCCACAAAACTAAAGACAAATGTGTTTAATGTTCGGTAACACTCCATACTTGCCACACGCCATAATCACGCATCGAGTCCTGCATAGATGGAGGACACATTGCCACAGCATTTTGGTAAAAATGCACATAATTCTGAATGTGTCAAAATGTTAAGAAATAGTAAAACGGAATTCAGTTTTAAGACCAAAATGTACATGTTATAAACTAAATGTCTTCAATGTTCTGAAAAACTGAAGCACCACATAGCTTTTAAGGTTGTCGACAATACAAAGCTCACACATGTGTGGAGTCAGAAAACGGCCAAAGGATTTAACTAGACACATGTTTTAGAACAAAATACCTGTTTACATCGAACTAAACATACGGCACAACAGGGCTGGGCTGGGCACAACTCTTGGCCATCTAACAGTGATCAAAAGACACTTACTACAAGGGCCCGTGAAGATTCCGGAGTAGAATAGGTCTTCAGCAACCCATGCTTGCCGTAAAAAGGTGACTATGCTTGTCGTAAAAGGCGACTAACGGGATCGGTGGTCAGGCTCGCTGACTTGGTTGATGCATGTCATCGATCCCAATTGCGTGTAATATTGCTGAGTGCGGCGTTAAACAACAAACCAACCAACCAACCAACCAACCAACCAACTTACTACAAGGTGTCTAAAACCGGACTTGGACTTTTCCTCATCCTTGTACATCCGAGAGAAGAAGTCTGTCTGTACTAAACGCGGGCTGATCGACTGTAAGAAAAGAATTATGAGTATGTAAGTCAACCAGGTTATCCCTGAACAGGTTAGAATGTCGTCCAGCTGTACCTTTGTTCAGTTGAAGCTCGGCCCTCGTGTTACAAATGTTATACACAGAACTTTGGGTTTCAAGTAAAGATGACGAGATAAATAGATACATTTTTTATAACAAAGGATTGGTCTAGAGTATTGCCATTGGCGTACATAACTATGTATCCGTTCGGGCATACGGGTTCAAACAATCGAGCCCCTGTCAACACAGTGAATGTTCTATTGTGCTAAAGAGTGGGAGTAAGAGTTAAGATGTTACCGTTACACGGATCCCGCTTTTCATCTCTCTGAGCTCTTGTCGGAGTCCTTCACACAACCCAGTGACAGCAAACTTTGTAGCAGAATAGAAATGCATTGCACGCAGCGGCATCACTCTGTGTCCGGACAGACTAGAACAACGAGGACACATGGCAGGAGATATCACAAACACGTGGTCATATCACTGTGTGTCCGGACAGACTAGAACAACGAGGACACATGGCAGGAGATATCACAAACACGTGGTCATATCGCTGTGTGTCCGGACAGACTAGAACCTCGAGGAGACATGGCAGGAGATATCACAAACACGTGGTCGTATCACTGTGTGTCCGGACAGACTAGAACAACGAGGACACATGGCAGGAGATATCACAAACACGTGGTCATATCGCTGTGTGTCCGGACAGACTAGAACCTCGAGGAGACATGGCAGATGATATCACAAACAGGTGGTCGTATCACTGTGTGTCCGGCCAGACTAGAACAACGAGGACAGATGGTCATATCACTGTGTGTCCGACCAGACTAGAACCACGAGGACAAATGGTCATATCACTTTGTGTCCGACCAGACTAGGACCACGAGGACACATGACAGATGATATCACAAACACGTGGATATATCACTGTGTGTCCGGCCAGATTAGAACAACGAGGACAGAGGGTTGTATCACTGTGTGTCCGGCCAGACTAGAACCACGAGGACACATGGCAGATGATATCACAAACACGTGGTCATATCACTGTGTGTCCGGCCAGACTAGAGCAACAATGACACATGGCAGGTGATATCACAAACGCGTGGTCGTATCACTGTGTGTCCGGCCAGACTAGAACAACGAGGACACATGGCAGGAGATATCACAAACACGTGGTCGTATCACTGTGTGTCCGGACAGACTAGAACAACGAGGACACATGGCAGATGATATCACAAACACGTGGTCATGTCACTGTGTGTCCGGCCAGACTAGAACAACGAGGACACATGGCAGATGATATCACAAACACGTGGTCGTATCACTGTGTGTCCGGCCAGACTAGAACAACGAGGACACATGGCAGATGATATCACAAACACGTGGTCGTATCACTGTGTGTCCGGACAGACTTGAACAACGAGGACACATGGCAGATGATATCACAAACACGTGGTCGTATCACTGTGTGTCCGGACAGACTAGAACAACGAGGACACCTGGCAGATGATATCACAAACACGTGGTCATATCACTGTGTGTCCGGACAGACTAGAACAACGAGGACACATGGCAGATGATATCACAAACATGTGGTCATATCACTGTGTGTCCGGACAGACTAGAACCACGACGACAGATGGCAGGAGGTATCTTGTTAATTTGATTAATCAATACAGGTTTGTCTATACATATCACCCGCCTCTAATAACAATCAACCACAAATCTAAAACCTTAATCACGTTGAGCTATCCTCCAATCATTCAGCTGACATGCCATGGTATAACTGAAATGTTCTTTAAAGCAGTGTAAAACATGACCCACTCCCTCTCTAATAAGATCTGTTTAAATCCTTTAAAAAACCAAGCATATTTGATCAACACACTACTTACTCACAGCGTAGTTTTGACAAGGCAACTCATTTGGCCATTGTTTGCCTTTTACGTCCAATCGAATGTGATGTTGATGTTTTATTCTCTGGCGTTGACTTTTTTATATTTAATGAGGTTCTGATCAATGAAATAGAAACATCTTATTCCAAGTCTCAAATGAGAGCTTATTCCCACATTTCTATAAGAGCGAATGGCATCCTTTCCATGAATGTGTCCAGATATGGACGCTTTGGATTGCATTGGATTGCATTATAGAACATTGGATGTCTTTCGATTGCATCAACTAGGATAGTGTGTATACTTTATTATTGTAATATATAACCAAAAATGAGAACGTTTGAGAATTAACACATTAAAAGTTTGTTCAAGTCATCCAGAAACCAATAGCAAATTTGCATACCATCACCGAAATAGAATATGATAACATTAAAGTGACAAGAATTCCAATGAACAATCAACTGATCAAGGTTATCATTTCTGCATAAATTTAACAAATCAAAGTGATCCCATTAACAATGAGCTTTATAAACCTTGCTCCAATTGATGTACCTGTTGAGAAGGATGATATGCCCATCATCCACCTTCCTCTCCTGCATGGACTTAAAGGCTTCCCTGCTGCACATACACAGGCCGAGGATATTCACCTGAGGTAGAAATGGGAGTTGATGAGGGACTATCTTACGAACTATGGGAAGTGCGATCCATCTTTCAGATAATGGTCATTCCGCGTTTCGAGTAACTATTTCAATAAAATACCAATATTCTTTTTTTTGTAAGAAAATATCTGAAAACTTGGACCTGGAAGGCTTGTAAAAACGCTTCGCTAATGTCAACCTAACCAATGAGATAAGGAAAACTCTCCGATAAATCCCAAGCGTGTCTTACATGAAGGTATCATTGCATAAAGGACCCGAGAAGATCCGTGTTAGAATTGGTCTTCAGCAACTTATGATTGTCGTAAGATGTGACTAACGGGATCGGGTGGTCAGGTTGACAGGACTGTCTGGCCCAGACTCGATTATTTACAGACTGACGTCATACAGCTGGAATATTGCTTGGTGCGGTGTTTAACAAAATATAACAATATTGCATAAAGATTCGGCTGCCACGCATCAAATACGGTGCATAATACAAGGACGGGCCACTTTTAAATAGAGTAGAAAACTTAGCTTCGTCTTGGTCAGAACAAATAAAACCAGTGCAAATAGTTTATAAGTATTTGCCCAATCGCTGAAAAACTTCAAAATAACTGGAAGGTAATAGAATTCGTCTTAGTGGCATCTATTTTTTATTGTGCTTTATATGATCCAAGGAATTTGTACAAGGGTAAACCTACATCCACCATTTCTCTCCACAGGGGAGTGCTTCCTGTCAGCAGGGGTTCGTTGTGGGCCAGACCTGCGTTGTTGATGCACACGTCCACCCCGCCAAGGTCAGGGTCAGCCCTGATCATCTGGAACATCGCCATGACATCTTCTTCCTTGGAAACATCACGTCTTATTGCTTTAACCATGCCAGGTTCATCCTTTAAGTCATCAGCAAGTTTCTGAGGGGGAAGGAGTGAGTGGTTGAGTTCAAGTTGAGTCACACATCGGCAATATTTCAGCAATATCGTGACGAGACAAATTTTGATATTAATAATACTTATATTGAAACTGTTTAAAATTAAGTCATCGAAGGACAGTGTAATAACTAGCATATCACAGATTTATATTAAATTATTTTAAGAGAATGTAAAAATAATTTGCATTCAACAACACAATATAAAAACGGGCTATAGATCGCCACCAACTGAGGCCATATCACCGCGCTGGGGACCATGGGGACTTACAGTACTTTTGCTACCTGCATGGACCCCAGCAGGACATGAACGTGTGGCTGCTTGTACTATTTATAGTCCAGACTGACGCCGGATTGAGATACATATCATTGTGAATCCGAGAGGACCATTCCTTGTTTTATCCCCTTTTGCCGAGCACCAGGCAGGGTAACAATAAGTATCATCTTTTAACTTATTTTGGTGTTGTATTGCAGGGTATTGTATTGGTGAATAATGTTGTATTACATTGTTTCTGTTGAGATTCAGTAGAAGTTCATAGCTTTTTGTTTTGACAATGGTTAGTTGTCAAGCATGTAATACTAACTATAGTCTGGAAGTTAATTTAAGGTACCGACGTTTACTACAATATCTGAAAAACTATTGGACTGTTATAATTAATGTTCGTTCCACCAGTGACGAACAGGTCTGGTTGTTGATGAAATATAGTGATAGCTAAATAGACAGATTTTTTATTCATGCACCGATTGTCTTTAAATGTAATATCCAGTTATGTATGACTGTTTAATAATCGCATACCAACTTTGACTGGAGAAGGTCCAATAGTTTTTCAGATATTGTAGTAAACGTCGGTACCTTAAATTAACTTCCAGACTATAATGTAAGCAGTGGTGTGGAAGTTACTATTTTGATGCTTTTGAAGTCACGTGTTATCTGGGGTTTTTTTATAAGCCACGGGCTCACCCAGAATGGTACGGAAGTTTTACGAATGTATTTAGACTATATAAGTGGGCAAACGCATGCCTCTCTGATCTCACATTACATGAAGACCAGAGGATGTGAGAAGACCATTATTTTAACCCTGGACTGCCAAGCTTGACCACTGTTGCTGCTGTAACTATATTGTCATTGTATATGTACTGTCTTTGAATTGTGTACTACCACTCTATTGTAATTGTTGTGCAGTAATTTGTATTGATTTGTAAATGTAGTTAATTTTATTATGCAATTGTTAACTGTGTACTCTTTCTTTGTTGTTTGTTGGTTTCACACTGAATTCTTTTAAATACATTTCTGGTTTAAATTATTGTTTCAATTTGGAAGTCGACACGTAACATTGGTAAGAAACGCCTAGATCGGACCACCAACCGTCCGCTCTCCGGGAAGACGCTCAAACAAGATGTGTTATTTACACTTCGGTGAATGCACAAACATGATAACAATCCTGGTAATTACAAAAGCGCTATTTTATGCAGTATTTTGCCGTACCTTGCCCACTTTCGTCATGTTTATAACAAGTTGTTGTTACATCATGACATGTTCAGTCGTCTAAGGCGCCGCGATTCGCTGTGTAGAGTTGCGTCCCTTGGGCACACCAGAAACCTATGATTGTTGGTTCGAATCCCAGTTCGCCCCGATTATGTTTCTAGGTTTGTCAGCACCATACCCGTGCTTCTGGGTTTCACCTGAGTGCGTCTGAGACCTGCATCACTTCGGGATTTCCTCCCACATTAAGCTGACACGCTGCGATATAATTGGAAAACTGTTAAAAGCGGCGTTAATCCCAACTCACGCACTCAAATTTAACGTACCAAACGTTAGCATGTGATGGGAACCGAAGTGGGAGAAGTTACAGCAACACCATGACACCTGTCGGGGCAGGCATGACAATGTTGAATCAGTGTAGAATAATTGAGGACTCAATGCCATGTTTCAACGTTGAAATGATATTCATTTTTGGTTGGATGTGAAACTTAAAATTATGATGAGATGTCGACGTTAAATTAACATCAGATATCAAAGTTGAAACAATATTGAATATTGGTTGATTATTGTTTGAATATTGGAGATTTTTTGGATTCAGAAAAACATTTAATTTACATTTTGATTAGCATAGTCAATAAAATGTATCTTTATTAGACATAGTCTAGGGTCTATAAATATATTTTTCCAGCTCCAAAAATATATATTTCATAAAGAAAGTCACTGAATTAATGTTTTTATGAAATTTAATGTTAAAAATTGGGATTTAGTATCGAGATTAGATACTTTTCAACTACAGCTTCAAAAACATGTAGTTTTTCTTTAAAGCTATGAGCCTGATCTTTATGAAAAGAAAAACACCTTGCAACAATGTAATTTCTGTGTCAGGCAATTTCTTTGTTTGTCAAGTCTGAAGCATAATTATGTTTTTTAAGAATGCTTCGGGTTATTGACGCAGGACTGACAGTACGGGGAGTACCCTGGAGGAGAAGGCGTGATTTTAAGTGCAAATCAGTTGTATCCGTGGTGAAACTCGATTTTCCATTTACGTTTACGAATGCTTTTGTTTTTAAGATCGGGGGTAGAACAGGTCTTCAGCAACCCATGCTTGCCATAAAAGGCGACTAAGCTTTCTTAAGAGGCGCTCAACAGGATCGGATGGTCAGGCTCGCTGACTTGGTTGATGCATGTCATAGTATCCTAATTGCGTGGATCGATGCTCATGATGTCAATCACTGGATTGTCTGGTCCAGACTCGATTATTTACAGACCGCCGTCATATAGCTGGAATATTGCTGAGTGCGGCGTTGCACAACAAACAAACAAATGTTTTTTATCCTTGAACGTTGTCTACTTTTGATGAAAGTAGCAGATACCAGTACTACAAGAGACCATATATTAGTATATTGTCCATAGGGTTAGAAATAACCGAGTTGATAAAAATCACAAGTGTACGAATGTCCATATTATTTGACGCGCACTAGTGTATTGTTTACGTCACAGGACGACATTGTTGACGTCAGAATGATGTGACATCAAAAATGACGTCATAACTGAAGATTGTAATTGTCGAATGTAGATTTTAAGACGGCGGTCGTGATCTATGCATTTTTATATAGGGAAGGATTTAGACATAATGTCTAACAAAGAAATTGCTTCACTCGCATGTGTATTATACTGATGTTACGAAACTCGTGTAAGAATGTTAATTGCCTTAATGTATTGCCTTTGTTCTCGCTCGGGTAATACAGCTGTGATTGACTTGATTTCATTCATTACAGGAACGCGCGGAGCGTCTACGGGTTATTGCTGGAAAGTGGCAGAAGTCAGCGTGCAGAGCCCAATACGTTCACTGTTTCTCAAACATGATTAGCACACTATCGAACAGGTACCAACAACCTCATAATGTTGACGATCGCTCCCATTCAGGGCGTCAGGAACGATTCATCCGACACCTGGCGCTACGAAATGGAGCTGGTCACGTGTCAGCCGTTTTCAGGTGAATAAGATTGCACTTTCTTCAATTGGGTTGATGAAATGAACGTCAAGCCAATGTCACCCTGAGACCTGACAGATTTGGCGGTGTGTCTGTTATAGTGTATTGTGACATCACTATGACTGACTGAACCCCAATGCATATTCTGCAAGGAGTGAGTGAGTTGGGTTTAACGCCGCTTTTAACAATATTCCAGTTATATCACGGCGTGTCAGCTTAATGTGGGAGGAAAGCTCGAAGTGATGCAGGTCTCAGACGTTTACCGCTTCGGTGAAACCCACGTGCACGGGTATGGTGCTGACAAACCTAGACACATAATCGGGGCGAACCGGGATTCGAACCCACAATCATAGGTTTCTGTCGTGCGCAAGGGACGCAACTCTGCACAGCGAATCGCGGCGCCGAAGACGACCGGGCTGACCGTGCCGCCTATTGAGCAAGGAAGGGTCACTGGACAATACCATTGAGACAACATACTGACATCCTTTGTTGTCCCATTGTAAGGCGTGTGGGTCGACGTTTTGTCTTTCAGGACGTGCACGGATCGCCAATGCTCACCTCCAGCAGCACAACATCCATCGAATGCCATGGCCAGCAATGAACCCAGACCATTCCCCATTGACGACGTCTGGGTCATATAATGACGCCGACAGCGTTGGCTTACTTCGCCAGACGTTGTACGATAAGTGGGACAGACTCCCTCAAATCGACATGGGAGACTCATTCCTCGTCGAGTGAATGAATACTTTTTTCCAATCGTGGTGGTATTATGCACTACTGATCCAAAAACATATAACATCAACATTGAAAATTCACACCTCACCCCTTTCATCCTTCAAGGTCGTTGGCTGTCATACTTCACTTCCGGTTGTAATGTGTTCCCAAATCGTACATTATTATCACACAACTACTAGTATTACAAGAAGCTAATATCTTTCACAATGTTTGGAAAGTTCAACTGATTTCCGGGTATCTCCTACTTTTTTAAGATTCTCTATATATATACACATACATAGTTGCAATATCATACCATATTTGTGAGAGCTATTTTGACAAACTATGTTGTATTGTCTCATACCAAGCTACAAAAGGAGTATATATCGTTTTATTCCATTGAATCCATATTTTGTAAGTAAATATTTCGAAACAGTTATTGGTCTCTGAAAATAATAAAACACCGGTAATAGCAGTACTCCTGGAAACGCAAGGGCCATCTAGTACCATTGTAGTTACAACGAATGATAAATAGTATTAATACCGAAATTAACTACTTTAAGCGACATCCTCACCTGTATTTTGTCGACATTCCTTGCACACCCCACCACCTTCATGCCATGCTTGACCAGTGCCTTGACCAGCCCCGCCCCAATACCGACCGAGGCTCCTGTCACTAGAGCAACACGTCCCGACCACCGCTGCATGTCTGAGTGTGATGGCTGACGACTGCAGCAACCTGTCCCTAGCCTTTTATGAAGGGATGTTTCAGCTGCACGCATCGGTGTGCGCATCTGCACCTTACTGTCAGAGACCGCCTCTGTGGCGTAGTGGATAGAGTGTCTGCCCGGAGAGCTGAAAGTCGGTGGTTCGACCCCTAACCGCGTCAGACCGAAAGACGTTAAAAGATGGTACTTGTTGTTACCGTGACGCTCGGCATTAAGGGGATAAAATGAGGCGTTCTCAATACAGCCCTGTCTGATTATACACTTACAGCGAGTTTACCTGATCATCATTTAATAATTCGTCGCCCACATCGTATCCGAAGAACACGACCCGATTCAGATGTAGGCATACAGTTGGGAACTCGTACATGGTCGTTATGTGGAACACAAGAGCTGTAGTCTTTGTGAAGAAATATACTCTTAGAGTATATAAACTTTAAACAGAATACAAATTAATGACAGGTACCGAATACACTAACCAACCTGTTATTATCAGTGACACTTGCGTCTTTTCGGTGTAATGGAAACCCGACAACTGGTAGTACTAGAATTTGTATTGTACTCAGAAAGTGTTATCCCAAATATAACATTTGTTACATTTGACCACTTTCTAAAAGGCATTGTGTATTCATAGTTTTCAGCCATGGGAGTCGTGTCAATTGATGCTGATCAAAGGGGTACACGGGATCTGGACTACTCGTTGTCGGACTACCATTGTTGTGCAAGCCTCGGTGGCTGAATGGGTTGGGTCGCTGATTTTTGTACTGGGGATTAGTTGCCTCACTCGGATGGGTTCAACCCAAAAAGTATCAGAATTTGTGCTTTCCTAAGACCGGCAGTGAGTTAAACAAATTAAATGGATTCTTTCAATAGCTTCTGGGTGTTTTTCAAGTTCATCCACAATATGGGAGTTACCATAACGTCGAATGCGTTAAATAAACAGACAGGGTCACAATAGTACCATCTTTTAACGTCTTTTGTTATGACGCGATATGATCTTGTTGACCGATAATCGGTATTCGATTATTAGCTGTGGTTAACATTCATTGTTCATGTACGTAATATTCTTTCATATTCCTTCTTTTGTTTGAATTCATGCGTCCTTTTTAACGCTACACAATGATAAGTACAATTTAATCCTCTGCCTGAAGTAATGAACGTGTCAATGCGCAACGACCACGCTCTAACCGAGCAGGCATTAAGACAGTTATAATTACATTTGTCAGGCGGTTGTGAATATAGAGACGGGAAGCATATCGACTCTACCTTCTTCCTGGTTCTTTATCAACTCCGAAACTAAAGAAAAAAACAACTCCGAAACAAAGCCGACGAATGCAAAATTGTAACGTCCTCACACTCGCACACAAGGAACAGTCTTTGCGCTGAATGTCAAATACGCCTCCACGCATACAGGTGCTATATAACGAAGGTACGTTTACCTTACAGTGAATTCGTAGATACGTCCATGTTCAGTATTTAAACATGAAGTGTTTGAGTAATAGCTCGACATCTGCACAATAATATTGCGGTAAAAACGTAAAGTTGAACAAGATGCTCTTTCGTCACGTGACTGAAGGCGACCTCCTCGGTTGTTGTTTTGGGCTTGGACACCAGGTAGGTAGGCACTCCTTCTAGCACTGTACATCATGTAGTAGTGTTTCAAGTAAATAGTAAATCTATACCATACACAGGTCTTATCCGGGTCAGTTGTGCTTTTGAAGTTTTGGTGACGTGATTGTGCGTAGCTCACATCTGCTAATACGACATATTTTGTCACGCAGTGCCCCATACACCGTGTGACTGTGTGTTGGCCTGGTCGCTGGGCCGACAGTTACATGGCGGTCAGAGGCTAATAATAGACGACACACACATAGTTACATCAACACAGCATATGCCTCGCATGTTTAATCCTTATAAGCAGAAACAGATTGTCAATTTGCGCTGGTTTTACCGATATGTAATCTATGTACGTAGTTTAATAACAATTGTGTGATTTACCTTATCTTGATCACTAGCATTTTGGTGATTTACCTTGTCCTGATTCGTAGCATTAAGGATCTACATCGTCTAGGTTAGTAACATGCTGGTGATTTACCTTGTCCTGATTAGTAGCATGAAGGATCTACATCGTCTAGGTTAGTAACATGCTGGTGATTTACCTTGTCCTAATTAGTAGCATTAATGATCTACATCGTCTAGGTGAGTAACATGCTGGTGATTTACCTTGTCCTGAATAGTAGCATGAAAGATCTACATCGTCTAGGTTAGTAACATTTTGGTGATTTACCTTGTTCAGATTAGTAGCATGAAGGATCTACATCGTCTAGGTTAGTAACATGCTGGTGATTTACCTTGTCCTGATTAGTAGCATGGAGGATCTACATCGTCTAGGTTAGTAACATGCTGGTGATTTACCTTGTCCTAATTAGTAGCATTAATGATCTACATCGTCTAGGTTAGTAACATTTTGGTGATTTACCTTGTCCTGAATAGTAGCATGAAAGATCTACATCGTCTAGGTTAGTAACATTTTGGTGATTTAACTTGTCCTGATTAGTAGCATGGAGGATCTACATCGTCTAGGTTAGAAACATGCTGGTGATTTACCTTGTCCTGATTAGTAGCATGAAGGATCTACATCGTCTAGGTTAGTAACATGTTGGTGATTTACCTTGTCCTGATTAGTAGCATGAAGGATCTACATCGTCTAGGTTAGTAACATGTTGGTGATTTACCTTGTCCTGACTAGTAGCATGGAGGATCTACATCGTCTAGGTAAGTAACATGCTGGTGATTTACCTTGTCCTGATTAGTAGCATTAAGGATCTACATCGTCTAGGTAAGTAACATGCTGGTGATTTACCTTGTCCTGATTAGAAGCATGAAGGATCTACATCGTCTAGGTTAGTAACATGTTGGTGATTTACCTTGTCCTGATTAGTAGCATGAAGGATCTACATCGTCTAGGTTAGTAACATGTTGGTGATTTACCTTGTCCTGATTAGTAGCATTAAGGATCTACATCGTCTAGGTAAGTAACATTTTGGTGATTTACCTTGTCCTGATTAGTAGCATTAAGGATCTACATAGTCTAGGTTAGTAACATGTTGGTGATTTACCTTGTCCTGATTAGTAGCATGAAGGATCTACATCGTCTAGGTTAGTAACATGCTGGTGATTTACCTTGTCCTGATTAGTAGCATTAAGGATCTACATCGTCTAGGTTAGTAACATGTTGGTGATTTAACTTGTCCTGATTAGTAGCATGAAGGATGTACATCGTCTAGGTTAGTAACATGTTGGTGATTTACCTTGTCCTGATTAGTAGCATTAAGGATCTACATCGTCTAGGTAAGTAACATGCTGGTGATTTACTTTGTCCTGATTAGTAGCATGGAGGATCTACATCGTCTAGGTTAGTAACATGTTGGTGATTTACCTTGTCCTGATTAGAAGCATTAAGGATCTACATCGTCTAGGTTAGTAACATGTTGGTGATTTACCTTGTCCTGATTAGTAGCATGGAGGATCTACATCGTCTAGGTTAGTAACATGTTGGTGATTTACCTTGTCCTGATTAGAAGCATTAAGGATCTACATCGTCTAGGTTAGTAACATGTTGGTGATTTACCTTGTCCTGATTAGTAGCATGGAGGATCTACATCGTCTAGGTTAGTAACATGTTGGTGATTTACCTTGTCCTGATTAGTAGCATGAAGGATGTACATCGTCTAGGTTAGTAACATCTTGGTGATTTACCTTGTCCTGATTAGTAGCATGGAGGATCTACATCGTCTAGGTTAGTAACATCTTGGTGATTTACCTTGTCCTGATTAGTAGCATTAAGGATCTACATCGTCTAGGTTAGTAACATGTTGGTGATTTACCTTGTCCTGATTAGTAGCATGGAGGATCTACATCGTCTAGGTTAGTAACATGCTGGTGATTTACCTTGTCCTGATTAGTAGCATGGAGGATCTACATCGTCTAGGTTAGTAACATGTTGGTGATTTACCTTGTCCTGATTAGTAGCATGGAGGATCTACATCGTCTAGGTTAGTAACATGCTGGTGATTTACCTTGTCCTGATTAGTAGCATGGAGGATCTACATCGTCTAGGTTAGTAACATGCTGGTGATTTACCTTGTCCTGATTAGTAGCATTAAGGATCTACATCGTCTAGGTTAGTAACATGCTGGTGATTTACCTTGTCCTAATTAGTAGCATTAATGATCTACATCGTCTAGGTGAGTAACATGCTGGTGATTTACCTTGTCCTGAATAGTAGCATGAAAGATCTACATCGTCTAGGTTAGTAACATTTTGGTGATTTACCTTGTTCAGATTAGTAGCATGAAGGATCTACATCGTCTAGGTTAGTAACATGCTGGTGATTTACCTTGTCCTGATTAGAAGCATGAAGGATCTACATCGTCTAGGTTAGTAACATGCTGGTGATTTACCTTGTCCTAATTAGTAGCATTAATGATCTACATCGTCTAGGTTAGTAACATTTTGGTGATTTACCTTGTCCTGAATAGTAGCATGAAAGATCTACATCGTCTAGGTTAGTAACATTTTGGTGATTTACCTTGTCCTGATTAGTAGCATGGAGGATCTACATCGTCTAGGTTAGAAACATGCTGGTGATTTACCTTGTCCTGATTAGTAGCATGAAGGATCTACATCGTCTAGGTTAGTAACATGTTGGTGATTTACCTTGTCCTGATTAGTAGCATGAAGGATCTACATCGTCTAGGTTAGTAACATGTTGGTGATTTACCTTGTCCTGACTAGTAGCATGGAGGATCTACATCGTCTAGGTAAGTAACATGCTGGTGATTTACCTTGTCCTGATTAGTAGCATTAAGGATCTACATCGTCTAGGTAAGTAACATGCTGGTGATTTACCTTGTCCTGATTAGAAGCATGAAGGATCTACATCGTCTAGGTTAGTAACATGTTGGTGATTTACCTTGTCCTGATTAGTAGCATGAAGGATCTACATCGTCTAGGTTAGTAACATGTTGGTGATTTACCTTGTCCTGATTAGTAGCATGAAGGATCTACATCGTCTAGGTTAGTAACATGCTGGTGATTTACCTTGTCCTGATTAGTAGCATGGAGGATCTACATCGTCTAGGTTAGTAACATGCTGGTGATTTACCTTGTCCTGATTAGTAGCATGGAGGATCTACATCGTCTAGGTTAGTAACATGCTGCTGATTTACCTTGTCCTGATTAGTAGCATTAAGGATCTACATCGTCTAGGTTAGTAACATGTTGGTGATTTACCTTGTCCTGATTAGTAGCATGAAGGATGTACATCGTCTAGGTTAGTAACATCTTGGTGATTTACCTTGTCCTGATTAGTAGCATGGAGGATCTACATCGTCTAGGTTAGTAACATTTTGGTGATTTACCTTGTCCTGATTAGTAGCATGAAGGATCTACATCGTCTAGGTTAGTAACATTTTGGTGATTTACCTTGTCCTGATTAGTAGCATGGAGGATCTACATCGTCTAGGTTAGTAACATGCTGGTGATTTACCTTGTCCTGATTAGTAGCATGGAGGATCTACATCGTCTAGGTTAGTAACATGCTGCTGATTTACCTTGTCCTGATTAGTAGCATGGAGGATCTACATCGTCTAGGTTAGTAACATGCTGGTGATTTACCTTGTCCTGATTAGTAGCATGGAGGATGTACATCGTCTAGGTTAGTAACATGTTGGTGATTTACCTTGTCCTGATTAGTAGCATTAAGGATCTACATCGTCTAGGTTAGTAACATGCTGGTGATTTACCTTGTCCTGATTAGTAGCATGGAGGATCTACATCGTCTAGGTTAGTAACATGCTGCTGATTTACCTTGTCCTGATTAGTAGCATGAAGGATCTACATCGTCTAGGTTAGTAACATGCTGGTGATTTACCTTGTCCTGATTAGTAGCATGGAGGATGTACATCGTCTAGGTTAGTAACATGTTGGTGATTTAGCTTGTCCTGATTAGTAGCATTAAGGATCTACATCGTCTAGGTTAGTAACATTTTGGTGATTTACCTTGTCCTGATTAGTAGCATTAAGGATCTACATCGTCTAGGTAAGTAACATGCAGGTCATTTACCTTGTCCTGATTAGTAGCATGAAGGATCTACATCGTCTAGGTTAGTAACATGCTGGTGATTTACCTTGTCCTGATTAGTAGCATGAAGGATCTACATCGTCTAGGTTAGTAACATGCTGGTGATTTACCTTGTCCTGATTAGTAGCATGAAGGATCTACATCGTCTAGGTTAGTAACATGTTGGTGATTTACCTTGTCCTGATTAGTAGCATGAAGGATCTACATCGTCTAGGTTAGTAACATGCTGGTGATTTACCTTGTCCTGATTAGTAGCATGAAGGATCTACATTGTCTAGGTTAGTAACATGCTGGTGATTTACCTTGTCCTGATTAGAAGCATGAAGGATCTACATCGTCTAGGTTAGTAACGTGTTGGTGATTTACCTTGTCCTGATTAGTAGCATTAAGGATCTACATCGTCTAGGTTAGTAACATGCTGGTGATTTACCTTGTCCTGATTAGAAGCATGAAGGATCTACATCGTCTAGGTTAGTAACATGCAGGTGATTTACCTTGTCCTGATTAGTAGCATTAAGGATCTACATCGTCTAGGTTAGTAACATTTTGGTGATTTAGCTTGTCCTGATTAGTAGCATTAAGGATCTACATCGTCTAGGTTAGTAGCATGCAGGTGATTTACCTTGTCCTGATTAGTAGCATTAAGGATCTACATCGTCTAGGTTAGTAACATTTTGGTGATTTACCTTGTCCTGATTAGAAGCATTAAGGATCTACATCGTCTAGGTTAGTAACATCTTGGTGATTTACCTTGTCCAGATTAGTAGCATTAAGGATCTACATCGTCTAGGTTAGTAACATTTTGGTGATTTACCTTGTCCAGATTAGTAGCATTAAGGATCTACATCGTCTAGGTTAGTAACATTTTGGTGATTTACCTTGTCCTGATTAGAAGCATTAAGGATCTACATCGTCTAGGTTAGTAACATGCTGGTGATTTACCTTGTCCTGATTAGTAGCATTAAGGATCTACATCGTCTAGGTTAGTAACATTTTGGTGATTTACCTTGTCCTGATTAGAAGCATTAAGGATCTACATCGTCTAGGTTAGTAACATTTTGGTGATTTACCTTGTCCAGATTAGTAGCATTAAGGATCTACATCGTCTAGGTTAGTAACATTTTGGTGATTTACCTTGTCCTGATTAGAAGCATTAAGGATCTACATCGTCTAGGTTAGTAACATGCTAGTGATTTACCTTGTCCTGATTAGTAGCATGGAGGATCTACATCGTCTAGATTAGTAACATGTTGGTGATTTACCTTGTCCTGATTAGTAGCATTAAGGATCTACATCGTCTAGGTTAGTAACATTTTGGTGATTTACCTTGTCCAGATTAGTAGCATTAAGGATCTACATCGTCTAGGTTAGTAACATGCTGGTGATTTACCTTGTCCTGATTAGTAGCATTAAGGATCTACATCGTCTAGGTTAGTAACATTTTGGTGATTTACCTTGTCCAGATAAGTAGCATGAAGGATCTACATCGTCTAGGTTAGTAACATGCTGGTGATTTACCTTGTCCAGATAAGTAGCATGAAGGATCTACATCGTCTAGGTTAGTAACATGCTGGTGATTTACCTTGTCCAGATTAGTAGCATTAAGGATCTACATTGTCTAGGTTAGTAACATTTTGGTGATTCACCTTGTCTGGATAAGTAGCTTCCTTTTTACATTGTCTTCATTAGTAACACTGTAGCGAGTTATCTTGTCTTGATCAGTCGCATTTTGGTGATTTACCTTGTCTGGATTAGTAGCAATTGGTGATTTACCTTGTCTGGATTAGTAGCAATTGGTGATTTGCATTGTCTGAATTAATAGCATTTGGTGATTTACATTGTCAGGATTAGTAGCATTTTGGTGATTTACCTTGTCCTGATTAGTAGAATGAAGGATCTACATTGTCTTGGTTAGTAACATTTTGGAAAAAGATCGTGATTTACATTGTCAAGATTAGTAGCATTTTGGCGATTTACCTTGTCTGGATCAGTAGCATTTTGGTGATTTCCATTGTCTTGATAAGTTACACTGTGGTGATTTACCTGTCTTTATCAGCAACAATATTTGTGATTTGCCTTGTCTTGATTAGCAACATTTTGGTAATTTACCTTGTCTCGTTTAGCAACATGTTGGTGTTTTACCTAGTTTTGACTGGTAACATTTTGGTGATTTACCTATTTTTGATTGGTAACATTTGGGTGATTTATCTAATTCTGATTGGTAACATTTTGGTGATTTACCTAGTTTTGATTGGTAACATTTTGGTGATTTGCATTGTACTGATTCAGTAACATGTCTTGTCATGACGTTTCAGATGCATCCTACCTTTTTAACTGGCCATGGATTTAATGAGTTACATTAACAATTACATGTCGCACGTACACACGCATATCATGTGCAACTGTCAGTCAGACCCCTGTCCTATCCAGTGTTGCGGGGTAACTCTCATGTTCTGTCGTCACGTGTGACTCAATCTTGCTGAATCGGCTATTTCAAAAGGTTAAGACTTGTTGTATACCATAACAAATTATCGACGTTTCTGCTATTCATGAATCCACGTCACTACAGCAGTGAACAATGTTATCAGGTCTTATCTTAATCTTGACTTCCAATAAGGAACAACAAAGTATTACATACTGGGACATACACGACGCCGAGACGGATAGGGCGGCTGTATACAGTGGAACAGTAGGTATATTGTGTTCTCGCATAGAAGGCCTTTGCGGTCTGGTGTAAATGTTTAACACCATGCGTACCCCCCCTCCGTACCTTCTTATATAGCGGACTAAGAACGTGGATGCTCTTGACACTGACCCAACAGGATGGTGGAACTACAAGGCATTACATACAATGGATGGTAGTCATTGGGTCACACCTGTTACGCATATATTACCAAAGCGATGGTTGATAAACACAGGTGATGCTGATTGAGTGCAGGCTGTGCCTGGTAAACTCAGACAACATTAATCAACATATTATTGACAGTACATTCGTAAAGACTGATCGACGATGAATAGTTATGACCTCGCCATATGACTGCAGATTGTATAATATGCGGGGATTTAAACAGATTGGACGGGAAGACCTGTTTGCTGTGAGTGATACTCTTCATAGAAATTGTAAATAATAGTCACGTGCTTGGGGGCGAGAGATTACAATCGATAACATATTCCTTGATTCCAACTGATACCATGGACATTTAACTTTTATCTATGTACATTACTTCTACATGAAGTATATTTTTCCAATTTCAATCACTTTCACTAAGGAAAAACATTTTTAATGTGAACTATTGATAATCATTTCTTATTCGAAAATTCGTATATTTCATTCATTACTAAGTTTCGTCAGTTGGTCACTATGATCTGCTGAGAGTATTATATTCTCTAAATCAAGAACTATCTATTTCCTATGTCCCCTATTTTAATTCATATCCATTTTCGTCAATTATTTTTTTAAAGTGATTTTCAATGTTTTATTTATTTGTACGTCATTAACAATTGGTACTCTCCCGATCGAACCAAACTGAGAAAGTAATTTTTATTGACTGACTGCACCAGACGTTCAAGGACACTAAATAGTAGGATCCCTCGTCCAGGTCTGTACTTACTTCTGGACTGTACTAGATCATCACATTTTGATAAAATAGTGCATTAATACATTATGTGACACCTTACAGATAAACATCAACCATGGATGAGAAGGTACTGAAGAAGATGGATGAGCTGGAGCGATATGAGAAGGTAGTAAAGCACCTTGGAGAACGGTACGACCAATCGAAGGGGGTGTCGCCCCTCTTCCGGTATGGGCAGCTCAAATCTATGATCAAGGCAGCCATTTTGAAAATGTCGAAAGATAACGAAGATGACAGTGACGGCGAGGATCAGGAAACATCCAAGCCAGGTACATGTAACACTCGCAGTGGAAGCTGTGCGGCTTCCTTGAAACCAAAGTATTTTCCTCAGATACACAATCTACCCAGACTATGGTCCATTCACCTGTGTGCTTCGTTCTTCTTGGGCTACTAAGAGAGAGAGAGAGAGAGAGAGAGAGAGAGAGAGAGAGAGAGAGAGAGAGAAGGGGGGAGAGTTGTTGTTTAACGTCGACTTGGTCTGTAAATTTTTTTATCAACGCAATTGGGATACGATGCCAATCATTAACCAATAGTATAGAATCGAATCGGTAACACATTTCTTGATTACAACGTATACCATAGACATTTCATTTTTATTCATGGACATTACCTCTTCTTACAGGAAGTATATTATCCAAATTTATTCACTTTCACCAAAGAAATACCTTTTTTCTGTGAACTATTGTTCGTTTCGTTTGTTTGTTTCCTATCACCATAGACGTCACGTCATGTTAGATGAACATAAATGTTCTTCAGAAACGAAACACAATTTAAATACAGATGTTCATAAGTTCAGTTGTAAAATACATGGTGTAGTAATCTATATATACAAAGTATCCTGACGTTGTATATCGTGCATAACACCCGGTCTGCTTCTCGTGGAAGAAAATAGCAAAACATATTTATCAGTGAACCGATGAAATGTGAATCGAGGTTTGGAAGTCACATCTAGATCCCAACATTTCAATTTCCAATCTGTTCTAGTGAGTTGGCGAGTTAAGATTTTGTAGTCACATCGGCAATATTTCAGCCATATCGTGCTAAATCAAATTATTCAGGAATAATGCATAAATATAAACTATAAAACCTGTGGACAAAGGACAATAAAAGAACTACAGTATTACAGCTATAAAAATTAAACTGGTAAGTGACCTTAAAATTGTGACTATTCAGAACAATATGTCATAAAAATTGGCTAGAGATCACCAGCAACCAAAGTTGAGCCACCATACAAGGGACCCAATCTGTTCTAAAACTATGTTTGAATGCTAACGTTTCGTTTCAGATCTGAAACAAATGTCCAACACACGTCTGACTGAAGACTTCATACAGAAGAGGCGCCAGGTTAAGGCTATCCTGAAGTTGAAGGACGAGTACGCTGCATCCAAGAGACTCGGTGCCTTTGTGAGGTACGGGGAGCTCAAGTCGATGATCAAACGCGTTACCAGGGATACACAGGGTGGGCCAGGAACCGCTGGGAGGTGATAGCAGGGGGTTAAAGTGGAGACGAGGCACGAGAGAATGTGTATACATAACCAATGTGAGATTACTCAACAGTAAAATCTTGCCAAATACAACAGAAATATTTCAGAGACCTTGTCAACTGTGCTGAGGCTATCCTATGTGAGCCGTCTTTTCGGTTTATGCTTTAAAACGAACGATATGCTCTAAAGGAAAACAAGGAAAGAAATATTTATCCAGGGAAGGTATATGTCTAGTATTAAGATTGAGTGAGTGTGAGTTAGTGTGAGTTAGAGAGTCGGAATCGAATCGGGTCCACGAATGCGAAATAACTAGGGGTTTCCGCCGTCCCTCCAAAACAATTGTCTTTGATAATTCCATAACACTAGAACTAAGCTGGGTACTGGTGAAAACAGTCAGCAATTAACCAAGCTCCTTCGGATGCATTGGATGATAGTGAAAACTGTCACAGCGGATAAAACAGGCCAAGGCAGGCTTCGTTGACGCTAACAGGTTGTATTGAGTAAGTGAGGTGGGTTTAACGACGCTTGGAACAGTATTTCAGGTATATCACAGTATGACATTAAATTGGGAGCAAAGGCCGCGAGCACGGGTAAGGTGCTGATAAGCTGAGCATGATAGTCAGGGCGCAGATGGGTTTCCAACACTCAAATCGTAGGATTTTGGTACGTCTTACCAGTACTCATAAAAGATAAGTGCAAAACAATACCAGGACTGTGTGTAGTAAGTTGCGTGTAACAACTTCCGAAACGTGCCACTTGCCGATCTGTCTAATGATGCCTGCAATATGAGAATTAGTGTTATACGATTATTTCGCTTTCCGCACTTGGGGCGTGGTTTAAAATGTTTAAGCATCACTATTATAACTATTATCATGATCACAATTCCCACCGTTGCCATCAAAATCATTGCCTCCATTGTCGCCATTGGTATTTTATTTGTTCTCAGTACGAGGAATGTTAAAAGTATGTTCGAAATATCATGATTTTTTGTCGTTATTTTGCAACTGTTATTGACCATGTATTTATGTATGTTATTCTCACGCCTATATCATATTCATATTGATTGTAGGATATACGTGTTTCTATGTTGAATAAAGTTTCTGATCTGAACAGTTTCAGCGATGTGAATACTGGCAAATCTTTTTGATAAACTATGTTAATTATTATTATGTTGGCCTATGTGTGTATCCGTTTTGACATGCAATAAACATATAAAATAAAACACATTTCTTTATTTCCTGTTCAACATACACGAAATGTATCATGGTAGATTTACCACACTTACAAATCATCTTTGATAGATGGTTGGAGTCTTGACGTTGATGGCCCTTACAACCAGCCCCAAAGACTTCAAAATCAGAAAACGTCAGACATCAACATCAAATGACTCCAACCATCAATAAACCGTGATCAAGGCCATGACATACCATACTCTGCCATGACATACCATACTCTGGTAGACTAAGAAGTCTGTCATACCCGATAGCTCCACCAAATCGTGTCAGTTTTCATAGCGGCCGATTTGGGACAAGCTTTGTCTGAATGAACAAAGGCTAAATACCCTGTAGCCATGACATGTCTATGTCCAGAATCACTTAATTGCAATTTCTTTAAGATGCTAATCTCCATTTAATTCTACATTGACTGAATGCCATCCTTAACGAGCTGTGCAACGATGACACTGGGGGCTTGCTGTTATTTATGTTATGACATATATAGCCTTAATCGATTATTCCCTGGGCTGTGTTGGTAATGACACCCATAGGTCCCATGTCCAGGCAAACGTCATCGCCTCTTCATCTGTCTGTAACCAAACTTCTTTTAGCACCACACCGTATAACTTCGGTAGTCTTCGGTAGCCTCCATCGTCTTCATGGGGAAACTCTGTCTATTTTGTAAAGGAATCAATGGTTAGAAGAATATACTTGTTATCGTTCTTGGTATTTAGCATTGGTCCAAGGATGTCGACGTGGGGGCGCTCACAGGTTCCTTCTCCTGGCATTGGTACCATGGGTTCTATTCATTTGTGTTGAGGAAGCTTGCATCTCTGGCAGATGTCACAGGTCTTGATGTAGTCTTCTATGCCTTGGCCAGTAGTATTTCTGCTTGATTGCTTGTCTTGTGGAGTCTCTTCCGTGATCACCTTCCCGAGGCAAGGAAGTTAACTGACTGTAAAAGTCTAGTTTCCACCCTTGCCGAAATAGACTGGAATTCTGGAATTACGTTTTGGCTGGACTAACGAGTCTATGCAACGTCCAATCAAAATCAAGCAACGAACTAGATATCCGGTTCGTAAACATGGAATTTACCATTCAGATGTCGACTGACTGCAGGATTGCAAAGCATGTGTACCGCCAACTTGGCGTCGACAGTTATTTTACAAATCTTTTCATGTTTTAATCAAGGTGCTCACATGATGTGATGCACTTCCCGAGGTAGGGTCCGTTTTATGAAAATATATCTTTTGATTATCGATCAGATCGTCTTGACTAGGCGACGCCATTTTGTTTGAAGCCAGATGCAATCGATGTGAGAGATGCAATCTGATAGGTCACTAGAAGGGTAATAGAAGGGACATAGCGCTCAATGACCACTGGTGGCGCTACGATCGAGCCACGAAATTCCAACGTATTTCGGCAAGAGTGGAAACTGGACTTTTGTAGCCAGTTAACACCCTTGCCTCGGGAAGATGTTCCGTGATGGGATTCTCCTACTTGTGAGTCATGGTACGCAGCTAGATGGTCTTTCCGGTCCTGATGTGGATCTGCTAGCTGAGTCGCTAAAAATGTTCAGTATGGTTTGGTGCCTCTGTCCTTGGGGTGGTAGATATGGTAGAGTGTGTTGCTGACAATGTCGTATTCCATTGCACGTCCAACCGATTAGATTTGCTGTGGATTATCGAAATAAAATGTCATCTCAAAGCCTGTATACTATCCCCTGCTAAGTGTACTTGATACAGCTAGCCACAACCAGGCTAAACTATTTACCGTCTTGGATTGTGCAAGTGGATTCTTGCAAATGCCATTATATCCACATTCTAAGAATAAATCAGCCTTTACCACACAAGAAAGTGTTTTTTGAGTTTAATTGGTTACCATTTGGCCTAAAGGATTCACCTATATCTTTTCAATCTATTTTAGCTCAAGCTCTCAGAGCAATCAATTGGAATTTTGAATTAATATACATATATGATTTGATCATTCATTCCAAAACATTTTCAGAACATCTCAACCATCTTAAGTTTGTTTTTATCCAAATTAAGAGAAGTTGGTCTCAGCTTGAAACCAACAAAACGTAAATTTGCAGCCAAAAATGTCAATTATCTTGGGCACATATTTTCTTAGGAAGGTATTGCTGTTCATACAGGCAAAACTGAAGCTGTCAGATCATTCCCAATTCCATCTCCCCTGCAAAACATGCGCCAATGCCTTGGATTATTAAACGTGGATTAGCAAATTATTCAAAAGTTGCTGTTCCACTCACATGGCCGTTTAAAAAAAATCAAAATTACACTGGACTGAGGCTTGGTAGCACTCCAAAACTCTACCAAGTCCTTTATCCTAGCCAACGATGAAAGTGGTGAAGCCCTTGGTTACACTCTTGATCAGCTTAATGATGCTGGCCAGGAACAAGACATGGCATATGGAGGTAGGTCATTACATCCTTGTGAAAGGAAATGGTTAGTTACTGAGCCAGAATGTCTCGCTGTGCTTCAAGGCATTAGAACTTTCAGGTCATCCGGCGTTGTTTAACTGTAATCGAACTTTGATGTATAAACTGTATCGACATATTTTGAAAGTAACGTAACCAGCAAACAATACTGACGCTACCAGAAGAATTGATTTTTGTGTGAATGCGTCACTATATAAGTGCAATAACGTGAGCGCGACGTTAAATCCCATTTCACCTCACCTTTATGTCATTGGGTTATATCATTGATAGCAGCTTGAGATAAATGAGAAAAAAATTGTGACCCACATTAAACGACATAGGTAGTTATACAAAGGCGTGATAGAATGATTCAAGCTCGCTACGGCAAAAAGTACTTGAAATTCGAGTGCACAGTTCAATATATTCATAACTTAAAACAGAACAACAATCAATATATATATTCTCCGACACCTTCATTACAATCATCGGGTAGAATGAATTTAGAACGATACGAATGAAACATGACGGAGAAATCCCTAGACACACACACACACACACACACACACTCACTCACACACACACACACACACACTCACTCACTCACTCACTCACTCACTCACTCACTCACTCACTCACTCACTCACTCACACACACACACACACACACACACACACACGTCGTAACCATGAGTTACGTCAACAATAATACATTATGGCGTCATCACCTACTGTATTGCATTAGATGCGAAAGTAGATGATAACATTATTTGTATCCTTGGTGACGTAATACGTGATGATACGACCGTACATGCCAGTACATGATGACCTGCCCACCTACTTTACCAATGTGACACTGCATCTGTGTCTATCCCGTTAATTCACCAGTATCCGTGTCGTAATTTAGGAATTCTGCCTCTAAACAGCCATCACAAGTAACATGGTGTAACAGTTACATAATACCTGCACAGAACAGCTGTAAATTTGATTATGCGACAGCAGCATAATTCTATCCCAAGTGGATGTCTTCACATAGCTATTAAACTGGATATCAGACTGACAAGATAATAAAACAGCCAAGCTGATAGCCCAAACTATATCCATTCAGGGAATTGCCTCAATAAATTTGTGAACATCAAATATTTATGCATATCATACGACGAGATGCTGTCGACAACCATGACGTTTAGCTGCATGTTCAGATTCTGTGTAAAGTAGTGCTCTAATACTGTAGCTCACCTTATCGTGCTTTATAGACCCTATTCTCAATCATTACACTCAGTACATTTTCGCTCATGACATCAGAGAGTGAATATTGTTTTACGTTGGTTTTCGCACTATTCCAGTAATGTCACGGCGGGGGACATCGGAAATGAAATTCACACATGTTATCCATGTTTGGAATCGAACCCGGGCCTTCGCCGTGACAGGCGAACAAATTAACCACTAGGCTACCCCACCGCTCTTTTTATGGGATATTTCAACAATAAGAATACCTACCAGTTGACTGAATGGTTCATAACTTTGTGACAAATATATTCATTCACACTTATCATGGCACCAAATCAGTCACCAAATTACGTATTTAATTCGTTAAAACACCAATATAATAGACGCTGTTAATAATATCGGACCCAAATTTAATGTAATCATTGGAGGGACCACCCAACCATGAAGGTTGGCTTCATTCCTTGAGTGTGTGTGTGTGGGGGGGGGGGGGGGGGGGGAGAGAAAAGGAGTAAGGCATCTGTGTCGGCTGCAGCAACTGTTGTTGTCCAAAGGTATAAACAACACAGAATTACTTTGAAATGAATCGCTAAACCAGGCTCCACTAAATCAGAATATGAGGGCATGCTAATGAAATTGAAATTTGCAAACTGATTTAATGTTTGATGCTAAAAACTTTAGTAATATTCTCAGATTGAAATTTCAGGAACTACAAACAGTTTCCTTTTCCAACAACGTTTCGTCCAAGTTACAGGAACCAGTTGAAGAACGTGGTTTGGGCAGCTCAGTTGTAAACCCAACTACTTGAGGGACCCAATGCCTCTACCAAACTACTGGTAATATAATCACAAGTGGCGTCTCTGTTGTTGGCAATAACAACCTCCGTCGGTTATTTTAGATATCGTGAACAGCCGGATGCAGTGGAAGCCTATCACCACATGAAGGAAGAGTATTTCCCAACTATTCATGACAGGAAATGAACGTGTCACCCGAGACACTCGTGACAAACGTTTGACATGTACGTGTAGTATCGACCCATGAAGATCCGGGGTAGAATAGGTCTTCAGCAACCCATGCTTGTCTTAAAGGGTGACTATGCTTGTCGTAAGAGGCGACTAACGGGATCGGGTGGTCATACTCGCTGAATTGGTTGATGCATGTCATCGTATCCCAATTGTGTGGATCGATGATCATGATGTCAATCACTGGATTGTCTGGTCCAGACTCGATTATTTACAGACCGCCGTCATATAGCTGGAATATTGCTGAGTGCGGCGTTAAACAAGAAACAGCGGAGGGAGTAGTTTTTACGCATGGGTACTCACGATGTTTTATTTGACAATATAGATCACCATTATATGGGTTAGAAGGTATTTCAAATTGCACAGTATTTTACAGTCGTGTCAGATGTGTGAGGGAAGGTACTAGATATACAAGAAGTGCTTGCTGTGTGAGATGCATATTTGTGCTTCTCAAAACTGTTAATGTGTCAAATGCCAACTTCGTGATAAAGTGCTAGTCACGGTTTGGACCGAGTCCAATGTTCAAGATAGCTATGTCTTTTTATCTAAATTTGAGATAAGATTTTGTTTGTTTGTTGTTTAACACCCACTCAACAATATTCCACCCATATGACGGCAGTCTGTAAATAATCGAGTCTGGACCAGACAATCCAGTGATTGACATCATGAGCATCGATCCACACAATTGGAATTGATGACATGCATGTATCAAGTATGCCAGCCTGAGGACCAGAACCCGGTCGCCTCTTACGACAAGGATAGTCGACTTTTACGGCAAGCATGGGTTGCAGAAGACCTATTCTACCCTGGATCTTGAGATAAGACGACATATATGCATTTATATAGTGAGTCAGTCGGACGGGAAAATAGGTTTGAGATATCGGTACATTCGAGATAACAGGGTTCAAGATAACTGTTCTTCGGCTCTCCTGTTCCAGACAACGGTCTGTAAATAACCAAGTCTCGAACATACAATCCAGTGACTGACATCATGAGCATCGATCCAAGCAATTGGGATATGATAACATGCATCAACCAAGTCAGCAAGCCTGACCACCCGATTCTGTAACTCGCCTCTTATGACAGGCATAGTCGCCTTTTATGGCAAGCATGGGTTGCTGAAGACTTATTCTTACCTCAGAGAGCTTTAACTTACAAACAAACAAAGTGTCAGATATTCACTCTTTATTAACACTTTCCTATTCTACATTCATAGACTCATGTCCACAGCAGGCTTCCATCCAATGGAACTTTTGTACAATAAAGTATGTCAACATCTTTAAATATATCAGCGGCCACGCAATTCAGACAGGGAAATGTAGCAATGGAATTAACATATGGTTCCTCTGTGGAGCATCAAACTCGGGCTAACCACATGGCAAACACTGTGACTGCTGTCCTAGCAGTTCCTTACACAGATTTCCTCTTGCCCATCTTTTGTAATGAGTGAGTGAGTTGGGTTTAACGCCGCTTTTAACAGTATTACAGTTATATCGTGGCGTGTCAGCTTAATGCAGGTCTCAGACGTTTACCACTTCGGTGAAAATCACCAGCACAGGTAAGGCGCTGACAAACCAAGAAACATAATCAGGGCGTACCAGGATTTGAACCCACAATCATAGATTTCTAGCGTGCCCAAGGGACGCAAGTCTCCACAGCGAATTGCAGCGCCTTAGACGACTGAGGCACCCCTGCCCCCCTTCTGCAATAAAAACCTGTTAGTCTCCCAATGCATTAAACCCTCCTGTACCTGTTTATCGCAATACACTGACCGCCCATTGCATTCACATGCTCATCCAGACACAACTCACATGGCCGAAGTACAGATTTCTACATGTTTTGTTTATTTGTTTCTTTGTTGTTCAATGCCGCACTCAGCAATATTCCAGCTATATGATGGCAGTCTGTAAATAATTGAGTTTGGACCAGACAATCCACTGATTGACATCATGAGCATCGATCAACGCAATTGGGATACAATGACATGCATCAACCAAGTCAGTGAGTCTGACCACACGATCCCATTTTTCGCCTCTTGCAACAAGCATAGTCGCCTCGTACAACAAGCATCAGTTTTGTGAAGACCTGTTCTACCCCGGATCTTCATGGGTCTGTTTAGTTTAAGTTTATTCTGCATAACAATTGATGCAAAGATGTAAGAAGTACACTTTCATATATTTATTATCATACTCTATCATATCCAAACTCTCTATACATAAATTATCACAGACAGACCCAAGAAATTTGACAAAATCATGTATGCCATGATATAATGACTGGAAATCTATTGCCCACCCCTACAACCTCCAGGGCCCCTGCATGGCATCAGAGCCCCGCCCCACCCCACCCTGCATGGCATCAGAGCCCCGCCCCACCACGGCAAGGTGGGGACTGGCCTATCTTCTGTTCTGACGTGTTCCACTGCTCAGGGGTCTTGGCCTGAAATAAGGTGCAAAGTACCTCATGCCTCTTCATGGACCAAACATCACTGCCACATCAGTACATCCAGTCATCAAGAATACATTCAGGGTAAACTGGTTACAGTGGATGGTTAGTCCTTTGATCATAACACTTTGTATCACTTGTTACAAACATGGGGTCATTTTAACCAACATAATAGTGCAAAAACGCCAAACAATTCACTTTCTGTCAGGTAACGCAAAGTAACTTCTCAAACCTGTTTCATCTTTCTCTTTCAGATTCTGAATAATTTGAAATTTCTGGGTTTTACCATTAATGATGTCATCATTTATATTGGTCACAAGCATTTAACAAATGATTAATTAATAATACATCAATTCGCCAAAATAGGGGCATCACTCACATGAATAGAGAGAGCATGAATCTGGGTCTTCAGTTCCTCCTGCAGAGTTTCATTCACCATCCGATGCCGCTGCAACACAAGGGAAGAAGTATGAGGCACAGACATGTGAGCCCCCACTAGTCCACACACCCCACCAGTCCACACACCCCACTTGTCCACACACCCCACTAGTCCACACACCCCACTAGTTCACACACTCCACTAGTCCAAACACCCCACTAGTCCACACACATCGCAAGTCCACACACCCCACTAGTCCACACATCCCACTAGTCCACACACCCCACTAGTCCAAACATCCAACTAGTCCACACACCCCACTAGTCCAAACACCCCACTAGTCCACACACCCCACTAGTCCACACACCCCACTAGTCCACACACACTACTAGTCCACACACCCCACTAGTCCACACACCCTACCATTCCACACACCCCACTAGTCCACACACCCCACTAGTCCACACACCCCACTAGTCCACACACACTACTAGTCCACACACCCCACTAGTCCACACACCCCACCTTTCCAAATACCCCACCAGTCCACACACCCCACGATTCAAAATACCTCACCATTCCACACGCCCCACTAGTCCACACACCCCATTAGTCTACATACCCCACTAGTCCACATACCCCACTAGTCCACACACCCCACTAGTCCACACACCCAACCAGTCCGCAGACCACACCAGTCCACACCAGTTCACACACCCCACAAGTCCACACACCCCACTAGTCCACACTCCACAAGTCCATAGATCCCACTAGTCCACACACCCTACTAGTCCACGCACCCCACAAGTCCACACACCCCACTAGTCCACACTCCACAAGTCCATAGATTCCACTAGTCCACACACCCCACTAGTCCACACCACTAGTCCACACACCCCACTAGTCCACACACCCAACAAGTCCGCAGACCACACCAGTCCACACCAGTTCACACCCCCCACCAGTCCACACCACTAGTCCTCACTCCACAAGTCCATAGATCCCACTAGTCCACACACCCCACCACTCCACACACCCTACTAGTCCACACACCCCACAAGTCCACACAAACCGACTTGTCCACACACCACTAGTCCTCACACCCCACTAGTCCACACACCTGACTAGTGCACACACCCCACTAGTCCATTGATCCCACTAGTCCACACACCCCACTAGTCCACATTCCCGACCAGTTCAGGCTCCACCAGTCAACACACCACTAGTCCCCACACCCCACTGGTCCACAACCCTGCCTAGTGCACACACCCTACTAGTTCACACACCCCGCTAGTCCACACACCTGACTAGTGCACACACCTGACTAGTCCACACACCCCACTAGTCCACACTCCCGACCAGTCCACACCCCACTAGTCCACACACCCCACTGGTTCACACACCTGACTAGTCCACACACCTGACTAGTCCACACACCCCACTAGTCCACAATCCCGACCAGTTCAAGCTCCACCAGTCCCACTAGTCCACACCACTAGTCCACACACCCCACCGGTCCACACCCCCCACTAGTCCATAGATCCCACTAGTCCCCACACCCCACAAGTCCACACACCCTACTAGTCCATAGATCCCACTAGTCCACACACCCCACCAGTCCACACACCCCACTAGTCCATAGATCCCACTAGTCCACACACCCCACTAGTCCACACCACTAGTCCACACATCCCACTAGTCCACACACCCCACCATTCCACACACCCCACCAGTCCATAGATCCCACTAGTCCACACACCCCACCAGTCCACACACCCCACTAGTCCATAGATCCCACTAGTCCACACACCCCACTAGTCCACACCACTAGTCCACACATCCCACTAGTCCACACACCCCACCATTCCACACACCCCACCAGTCCATAGATCCCACTAGTCCACACACCCCACCAGTCCACACACCCCACCAGTCCATAGATCCCACTAGTCCATAGATCCCACTAGTCCACACCACTAGTCCACACACCCCACCAGTCCACACACCCCAGCAGTCCATAGATCCCACTAGTCCACACACACCACTAGTCCACACACCCCACCATTCCACACACCCCACCAGTCCATAGATTTCACAAGTCCACACACCCCACCAGTCCACACCACTTGTCCACACACCCCACCAGTCCACACCACTTGTGCACACACCCTACCAGTCCACACACCCCACTAGTCCACACTCCACTAGTCCATAGATCCCACTAGTCCACACCACTAGTCCACACACCCCACCAGTCCACACACCCCACCAGTCCATAGATCCCACTAGTCCACACACACCACTAGTCCACACCACTAGTCCACACACACCACTAGTCCACACCACTAGTCCACACACCCTACCAGTCCATAGATCCCACCAGTCCACACACCCTACCAGTCCACACACCCCACTAGTCCACACACACCACTAGTCCACACACACCACTAGTCCACACACACCACTAGTCCACACACACCACTAGTCCACACACACCACTAGTCCACACACACCACTAGTCCACACACACCACTAGTCCACACACACCACTAGTCCACACCACTAGTCCACACACCCTACCAGTCCATAGATCCCACCAGTCCACACACCCTACCAGTCCACACACCCCACTAGTCCACACACACCACTAGTCCACACACACCACTAGTCCACACACCCCACTAGTCCACACACACCACTAGTCCACACACACCACTAGTCCACACACACCACTAGTCCACACACACCACTAGTCCACACACACCACTAGTCCACACCACTAGTCCACACACACCACTAGTCCACACCACTAGTCCACACACCCTACCAGTCCATAGATCCCACCAGTCCACACACCCTACCAGTCCATAGATCCCACTAGTCCACACACCCTACCAGTCCATAGATCCCACTAGTCCACACACCCCACTAGTCCACACCACTAGTCCACACACACCACTAGTCCACACCACTAGTCCACACACCCCACCATTCCACACCACTTGTCCACACACCCCACTAGTCCACACTCCACTAGTCCATAGATCCCACTAGTCCACACCACTAGTCCACACACCCCACCAGTCCACACACCCCACCAGTCCATAGATCCCACTAGTCCACACACCCCACTAGTCCACACCACTAGTCCACACCACTTGTCCACACACCCCACCAGTCCATAGATTTCACAAGTCCACACCCCACTAGTCCACACTACTAGTCCACACCACTTGTCCACACACCCCACAAGTCCACAGTGCACACACCCTACCAGTCCACACACCCCACTAGTCCACACTCCACTAGTCCATAGATCCCACTAGTCCACACGTCCCACTAGTCCACACCCCCCACCAGTCCACACACCCTACCAGTCCACACACCCCATTAGTCCACACATCCCACTAGTCTGCACACCCCACCTTTCCACACACCCCACTAGTCCACACAACCCACTAGTCCATAGATCCCACTAGTCCATACACCCACTAGTCCACACAACCTACCCGTCCAAACACCCCACCAGTCCATAGATCCAACAAGTCCACACACCCCACCAGTCCACACCAATAGTCCACACACCCCACCATTCCACACACCCCACCAGTCCATAGATCCCACTAGTCCACACACCCCACTAGTCCACACACCCCACCCGTCCAAACACCCCATCAATCCATAGATCCCACTAGTCCACACACCCCATCAGTCCACACCACTTGTCCACACACCCTACCAGTCCACACACCCACCAGTCCACACTCCACTTGTCCATAGATCGAACTAGTCCACACGTCCGACTAGTCCACACATCCCACTAGTCCACACACCCCACCAGTCCACACACCCCACCAGTCCACACACTCCACTAGTTCACAGACACCTTACCTTAATGAGAGGTTGATTTGAAAACTTTTCCGACACGACCAAAACTTTGAAATGGCTCTCTGACCCTGCAAAGATAAACCAGAGAGTGTTTCAACAGTACTTCAATACCAAGCAAACCCCAAGTGACAGATCAAGATCATAAGTAGGTCCGATCTGGGATTTGAACCCAGGACTAGCAGATCCTGGTGCTGAAGGGCACAACATGGTGACCCACATCCTCCTAACGTTCCTGATACCCTGGGTAAAACAGGGAGCATCCTAGCCTTATCTACTACTTCCTTCCACTTACAAAGGACATATATGATGCACGACTAAAAGTAATGAGTGAATGTTGTTTTACGTCACGTGTAGCAATATTCCAGCAATATCATGACAGGAGACATGACACATGGGCTTCATGCATTCTACCCATGTAGGGAATTGAACCCAGACTTTCGGCATGACCAGCGAACACCTTAACCAAGACACTACCTCACCACCCCATACAGCTAACAAAGTAGAAAAGTCTTTATTTTGAAGCGAAGCTGACAAACGTAGGAACTGAACTTATTACATACAGCAAGGCCGATCAAAGGGAGGTAATATTACTGGAAATGTATTCATTAATCTCCACCAACTGGCCATCCATCTTATTGGGATGAGGTGAAGGTGAAATGGGGTTTCAAGTCACATTCAAGATTATTGCACTTACAATGCCACATGCATGCGTGTGTGTTTTTACTTTTGTACTTGTTCAGATTTATCCTGGTTTTATAGAGCTAGCCCACATGGATACCATGCCAAACATTTTTTTCAATATAAATACCTCTCTGCTGACTTTGAGCCAACAACTCCTTGTTTTATATTTATCTCCTCAATGCCGAGCGTCTGGCAGCGTAACAAGACGTTCCATTTTTTAACACTTTTTGGTATGATGCGACCAGGGGATAGAACCACCAATCTTCTACTCTGGACAGACGTTCTGTCCACTCCACCATGGAGGCGGTATTCGATTGGGATCACATCTCGCTGTGTCTAACACTGGTCTCAGTGTGCATGGCATTTCCTGTAACGGGCTTAACATGACAAAGTCTACAGATTTTAATTACCTTTGGGAACATTGTGCATATGGCTTTCATTGATGACCTCGAGGACATCTGGCTGGAGAACAAACAGAGAAATTAAAATGACCAAATGCAAATGTAATCATAAACATTATCAGAACACACTTATCAATGTGATTTTATCCTTTATTCCTACATATAACACATGGAAAACATTGTATCCTTTATCCCTCTGTTCCTACATACAACAAACATGAGGATAACATTGTATCCTTTATCCCTCTGTTCCTACATACAACAAACGAGGAAAACATTGTATCCTTTTTCCCTCTGTTCCTACATACAACAAACATGAGGATAACATTGTATCCTTTATCCCTCTGTTCCTACATACAACAAACATGAGGATAACATTGTATCCTTTATCCCTCTGTTCCTACATACAACAAACATGAGGATAACATTGTATCCTTTATTCCTACATACAACAAACATGAGGATAACATTGTATCCTTTATTCCTACACACACAGACATGAGGATAACATTGTATCCTTTATCCCTTTGTTCCAACACATGACAAACATGATGATAACATTGTATCCCTTATTACTACATACAACAAACATGAGGATAAGATTGTATCCTTTATTCCTACACACAACAAACATGTGGATATCATTGCATATTGAACAAAGTAAGTTCACCTGGAAGGCATCTGCTAGCTTCTTTTTGATGGAGGTTTCAACAGGCCTCTGGAAAACAGTAACTTAGCTTTTCACCTGATAAATATATGTTCCTGGCACACTAAAGGTACTCGACTCTAAACAGCAAATTACAACTTCATACAACTGGGCCATCCATCCAGCTTCTTTCTCTGGTCCATGATAAAACAGATGAATTATTTTGAATCTGGAAAGTGAACTGGGACACCCATGAAGACACTGCTCCCCAAACATGCTTCACATGCAGTCGTGACCACTTACTCCTGCCTCAATATCTACAATCTTTACTTGAGGAATGAAACATGAACTCTGCAAATTGATAAGAATGCTCAATATTGACATTTTAACACTACAGAGTTTAAGCCATATTTACTGAAAAGCTTTTAAATCGGACATGTCTCAGTTTAATTTACAAGTCCATATTTATCATTGTGTGTCATATGTTGGTTTTACTGATTAAATGTTTCATAAAAACTGTGTTCTAAATGTTTACAGACCCATTGAATACCACCCACGCTTGGTTAATATGTCTGTCATCAGCCTCACAACAAATTTACCCAAAACATATTGAGCTGTATTCACCGTTATCAGCACCCGGGGAAAACATGACAAAAGGGGACGCTTATTAAAACCATACACATGATACAAAAATTACATCATAACTTAACTCAAATGTCGATGAAACCATTTCAATAATAGTAATAGTAAGCTTGCAAGTATAAACTCTTTCTATGCAGCTGATTTCATGAGTGAGTGAGTATGGTTTTACGCCGCTTTTAGCAATATTCCAGCAATATCACGGCGGGGGACACCACAAATGGGCTTCACACATTGTACCCATGTCGGGAATCGAACACGGGTCTTCAGCGTGATGAGCAAACGCTTTAACCACAAGGCTACCCGACCGCCCCCGCTGATTTCATGAAACAATCTGTGAAATAACATAAAAGTATGATCTGTTTTGTAAATATTCGGTCTTTGTAGGGGCGCTAATAAAAACTGCTTACAGATTTGTCTAGAAGTAGGGGGTGTTTAATATGGCAAATACGGTATCTACATTTGTTGTGTTTGTTACATATTTCCACCAGCCGTTTACCTCAGTCACAACATCACCCATACTGCGACAATAATGCTGTATTCCACTTTGTGCTGTTCTGATGCTTCGAACACAGGCAGAAGCTGGAAGACAATGCATGTGATGAAAAGGCATGAAAACAGCTGCGACATATACAGTGATGTACCCCAGTTATTTGGATTGCTTGTTGTTCAACGCTGAACTCAGCAAAAAAGCAGCTATATATTGTTGGACTGTAAATGATCAAGTCTGGACCAGACAAACCAGTGATAATATATTATGAGCAACAATCCTTCAGGACAAGGGAGATACTTAATGATATACAACTTCTTTATTACAATGAATGCGACATTCCAGTGTAGATACTAACACTGTTATCAAGCAATGCACCTCTGTTGCTTGATAACGGTGTTGGTATCTGCACCGAAATGTTGCATTCATTGAATTTATAACAAACACGCTTATAACGAACTGACCGATATAACAAACTTATTTTTTAGTCCATTTGTTGTATATATGCTGTATGTATGAATATAACGAACTACGGTTATTACGAACTAAAATTAGCATGATTAGTGGGCCCCTTGATTTGGTTATAACCATAGTTTACTGTAGTACATCCAATGAAGTGTCCCCCTTGTGCATCATACCAAATTCAGAATGCAAATAGAAGAAGAGATCCTTCGTGATATGAAGACACACCATTAATCAAGTCATCAAACCTGACCACTGGATCCATTTAGTCACCTCTAGGGCTGGGACGAGTCCAAATTTACTACCCGGGTACCCATCACCTTATTACCCGACCCTACCCGGGTACTCGCTGTAGATATGTAGAGATAGGTACAAACTGTCCAATTTGGAAAAGTTTGACCTTAGCCCTGGCAAAATGTATTTAGATACACCTGTAAAACGATCTGGTCATGCAGTTTACTGCATGGAGTTTTATCTTTATTCAAACATATAAAAGTAAGAAGGAATGGGTGCATTGTCAGAAAGAAATTGGAACATTAGTGACTTATAGTGTAACCATAGAGTTTTAGATAATTTTTGTCATTAAACAATATATCATGTGACTAACCACGGGTCAAGGCAGTCCTGTGGGTACCTGGGTTCTAGTCAGGACCCACCCCGCCCGAGTACCCGAGTTACCCGTCCCAGCCTTAGTCACCTCTTACAACCAGCATATAAGGATGTAGGAAGACGATTCTAACCCAGGATCCCCACTGAGTGCTGTGACACTTCTTCAACATGGTGTTTAATTATTCCATGTTAACAGACAAGCTACCATGGCAAATGCCTGAGTATCCAAAGTAGTGAAGGTACAGCTATATTGAATCCTGGGCATAAAACGTGAAAACCTGGGGCATAACAGGTGCAAACATCAACATCTTTGTAGGTACAATTAGTTTTGTATCAAAATTGATCCTGGCAGATAGACCCCATCAATGTCACAGTCTGTACTTGCTTCAAGGTCAGATCTACTCACAGACTATTCTCTGTGTGTATGTGCGAGTGTGTGAGTGTGTGTGTGTGTGTGTGTGTGAGTGTGTGTGTGATACCAAACACACAGTGTCCATGCTCTAGCTCTGAGTCTTGGTGTTATCTTATGTGATTGAACAATTATTATCATCAGCTGATTACAAGTAGATTGTTATTATTATCATCATCATTATTATTATATCCTTCATGTAATTTATAAGGCGTTCCTTATCGTAGTAATTGACCATATGTTTCTGTATTGCCCTGCTTGAAAATCTAGCCTCTGTTAGCTGTCACAACTTATAAACTTATAACAAACATACTTGACCGAAATGATTGCATCCCCAGCTGAATGAATGGTCACATATATATCACATTTACGGTTCATTGATGATATTGCTGCGTTTGTAAAGGAAAGCAGGATTGGATAAACGGCCTGGAAACAACCAATGAGATAATGAGTTACATACAATGACTCATATTTCCAAGATGGCGACCTTTCTGGCCGTCAACTTGGTGAAGTATCTCTGCACTTGTGGAAAGCGCCAGCCTATATGTAGATTATATTTGTGTCGCCATTGCTTGAAACTGCGGTGCGGAGAGTGTGTTCAACATGAAGTAAGTGGTTTGGTTCTGTTGCAATGTCTTTATTTCGGTAAAACGCTCTTTTTGTTTTAGACGCCCATTTTTCGCGCACCTAGAACACCGGAGCGAATAATTTATTATCATTTTTAACAGCAATGATGTTTTCACGTATCTTTGAATACTCCACAGGTTGACACGCCATATTGCCCGAACTGTTTGGAAAATCTACCCTCTGCTGAAGCCAAAATGAGGAAAAACAGGTACGATTAACTTGCGAATGAGGATGCCTGTCTCGGTTGTGATGCTGTCCAACCAGCGGTAATCACAGAACGGTGTATGATGTGTCAGTCGAGGCATAATATATACGTGAGAACGGAGTATATATCATACACAATCTGATCGGTGTATCACAAAAACTGATTTGCAACATTTCTTTTCGGAGCAAATTAGTGATGACCCCAGTTTCTTTGATATCATTTTACCCTGTAATTCATAACATATCAAACTTAGACAGCTGTCAAATGTTTAGTCTAAACCTCCACCTCTAATAAGACCAACAGTTTTACAACTGGAATAGCCTGTGTTCAAGTATGTGCATGCTTGTCATTTGGTACGGGATAACCAATGACTTCACGATGATCACCCTAATTTGCATAAGGATCTGCTACTACAGTCATGTCTTACTGGGGACGTAATGGAGTCTTACGTTTATTTATAATATTTTTAGTCAACAATTCATTTGAGAAAACATAGGCCCACCTCAAACTAAACATTTCCCCTATGCAACACATGTACTTGTAGTTTCCTTCCTGTCAAATTTTAGATGCAGCAACTGTTTTGACTGTCCAAGTTGCGGCCACACGTTGATGACTCGTGCCACCAGTCTCATGGTAGCAAACCCTGATGATGCCAACAAGTCAACTCCCAAAAAAATGTACTACATGGCCTGTGGATTCTGTCGCTGGACTACACGGGATGTGGGGATGGCGGACCAGCTCTCTTGTAGGTTTACATGGCCAAGCCTCCATTAATCATTGATTATTATGTACAGACAATTTTACAAATCTCCTTTACAGTGATTCCTCGGCATAACGCTCCTCAGTGTACCTCTAGCCCAGATGCAGCGCTGGGTAACCCGTGGCTCCCAAAACTTCATGAAGAATTTCCCTAAAAAGCCTGTAAATATAGTAACAAATAAATTGATGAGATTTAATTCCTAATCGCAGTACACATGTGTATTTGTTAAGCAAGTATGTTCGTGATACATTGTATCCATTCTGCCTTTTGCCCCGGTTGTGTAAAACATAATGTTTTGTCGGATCTTAGGTTTTCGACGTCATATGTTTTCGGACAGCCATGTCTATCATGATTACTCACACTATAATTTGTAGCTTCACACAGACATTTGAAACACTCTGATGAGGGCTTGCTTTTAGGAGAAAATTGTCTATGATGATTTACCGTTGTTCATGTGATTAGAGAGAAAACTACAAATGTAGTTTGGAAACAGACCATGTTCCTTCTGAGTAACCAGAATATAACAATTGTTTGCTTCCATATTGAACATCCAGTCATAAAATAATACTATGATTCATTTACACTAATACTAATTAATATTGAGTATTGAGTATTATTATCTAATTTCCACATACATTTTGAATAATCATCTACGGTCAAGGTTACATAGACCTACATTCATGTCACTTGTCACTGTTGAAATAATAATGTTCCATTCACTACCATCATTGCGTAATGTGCTGATCATCAGCAATGAATATCTGTATAGCGCTCCTTCCTAGAACGCGAGGTCAGGATCTTGGACCCCGATGGCAGCGGCATATCAAGGAATCACTGTATTTTCTAATTTGGTTTTAGCATTTCCCACTCCTTATGATCATGTTAATAATAAAGTTTTAGACTTTTCCTATCTCACACTATGCATCTCTTCTTTCTTCTTCAATCATATGCGGAAACATGCTTAAACAAAGTTTCCAGCTTCCAAAAACTATTCACTCGAACACATCCCAGCATCACCATGGTCACCACCCAAACAAATGGTGTCATGCACTGTAGTGCTCCCAAATTTCCGGCTTCGGGCTGACTGACACAGGTTCTTCATATACACTTGTATTCAAAATCCATCTTCCAACACAATACACCTCCTGCACTCACACAGGTTGTCACTCAACTGCCTGCCTAGAGCAAACCAAGATGGCCGCCATAAAGTCATTCTCAAATCATAGACAGCAGTTTAGTATTCGAGGGTAAGTTTCGTATCCACACATTAACAGCTTCCGCCACCAGTCATGCTCATTGTCGACTGACCCTATACAGAAGACTTGGTTTATTTGCAAGAAATTGGTCCATCATGGATGATCCTCCAACTCGCACCTTCTACAGACCGGGTATAGACTGCCCTTGACTATGACTCCACCCACAATGTCCACTCCGTTTACCCGAACGATTCGGGACAGCCAGCTCTTGATCCTCGAACGTACTATAGCCTCAACATGTATGCCCTTCCTTGGACCGGCGTTCTACCATGACTCCATTGATCAATTTTAGTAGTGCCCGTTTTACCAATTTGGAAATTTTTCTCATAAATAGAAAATTTATATACTTATCCTATCTCACACGCTATATGCGGGACCGACTATCTCTGCATCACAGGTAGATCCCCTAGCCTGTTCGCTCTGGCAGGGGTAAGCACGTGATCAGGTCATGGAGGTCGCTATGCATGGGGCCCATTTGTTTGGGTGATGACCATGGTGAAGCAGGGAATGGGATGTGTTTGGGTGAATTATTTTTTTTAAGCTGGAAACTTTGTTGCACTTTTCCACATGGAATCGAAGAAGAATGAAGAGATGCATTGCGTGAGATAAGTATATAAATATACAATTTATTGGAAAATTATTCCAGCAATATCATGGTTCATCAATTTATTTTAATGAGTATATTGTTTTTCAATGTATGACCCAAACCAACCTTATCTTTATTTTCATATCATATCAGAACATTTATTCATGCATTTGTTGCTGTTATTGCCAGTGTAGATCTGATACGTTTATTTATGGACCAGTGACTATTTGTTGCAGCCAGTGGAGGATGGCAGGACCAGGAGAATGAGCAAGTCAAGCGGGTAAGGCTACACTCCTCTTGGTCCTAGGCCCCACTTCCGCAGTGAATGTAAAGTACCCCTGCATGACAGCATTTCATTTCCACATTATTTCCTTTGTACGATTAGGGAACAAAACTTACACCTGTATATTTTTCCGGTTATTTCCTCAGTGCCAATATTTCTTTTTGTTTGTTTGTTGTTTAAAGCCGCACTTAGCAATGTTCCAGCTATATGACGGCCATCTGTAAATAATCGAGTGTGGACCAGACAACCCATTGATTGACATTATGAGCATCGATCCACGCAATTGAGACATGCATCAACCAAGTCAGCGAGCATGACCACCTGATCCTGATAGTCACCTGTTACGGGAAGCATGGGTTCCTGAAGACCAATTCTACCCAAAGTCTTCACGGGTCTTTTACAGCTGAACATGATCATGATATGTTCACAAGTGACATAAATCATGCAGTTATTATTATTTCCATTAACAACTGATTAAGGCCAAAGAGTTTTCTAAAGTTTGAGGACCATGCTAGGGTAATGAATTCCTGATTCTAGGTTTTAGAGAGTTGAAACATGAATGATATTCATCACTCTGTTTTCATACAATAAGTGAACTTGAGACAGGCCTAATTGCAACCTGCTGTTGCTTGCCATAGGTGTGTTTGTTGTGGGTTTGACCATAGTTTTGATCTTGGTTTGTCTGCACCATACTCACTGTGTATTTCTCTGAAGTGGTCAATGTCTATAGCATGCATTGGAGACTCCTACAATATTAAGCTGACATGCCCTGATTTTGCCATGTCAACAAATACTGTTCAAAGAGGTTTGTGAACCAAACTCACATACACTCACTGTATAAAGGCTTAAGTGTCAACAGTGGGAGAATATTGATATTCCAACAAATCATGTTGTATGCACTAATGTGCCATACATCTTTCAGATAAACTCCCTGTTGGATTATCTTCCAATAATGTGCTATACATCTTTCAGATAAACTCCCTGTTGGATTATCTTCCAATAATGTGCCATACATCTTTCAGATAAACTCCCTGTTGGATTACCATCCAATAATGTGCCATACGTCTTTCAGATAAACTCCCTCTTGGATTACCATCCAATGACGTGCAATACGTCTTTCAGATAAACTCCCTCTTGGATTACCATCCAATAACGTGCCATACGTCTTTCAGATAAACTCCCTGTTGGATTACCATCGCCAGATGTCCCAGCGTGAGAAAGCAGAAAAAGAGCGCAAGAAATATGTTAAACGGAGGACTCACCTTTACTATTCAGTAAGAAGTATTCATTTCTACAACATGTACAAGGCTAGCAATGTGTAATTATGTTACTTTTTAAACTGATCCCATCTCACACATGTTGAACATACCCCCTTTGTAGTGGAAGATAATTTTCTTGATTTTGCTTCTCTAGGATAAGTACGGGCTGACATCTGTAGCTGCTGCCAAGAGAAAGTCCATTGCTGCCATGTCAAATATGAGGTTAGTACACAGGAAACATCTCACGTTTTACATTCGCCAGTATTTTAGTAAAGATTTTTTAGTAATGTGTCTTGTTTGTTTGTTTGTTTGTTTGTTGTTGTTGTTTCACTCTGAACTCAGCAATATTCCAGCTATATGACGGCAGTCTGTAAATAATCGAGTCTTGACCAGACAATCCTGTGATTAACATGAGCATCAATCAATTAGGATGCAATGGCATGCATCAACCAAGTCACCAAGTCTGACCACCCGCCTCTCCTGAAGATCAATTCTAATCCAGATCTTCACTGGTATCCTAATTCAGTCACCTTGTATGACAATTCTACCCCAGGTCAGTGTTAGAAATTGGCACTAGTTCTGTAGTCCTTGCCAAAATGCCCAGGTATCATAAGGACAAGTAGAAATGTGCCTTTTTTAAGGGTTTTGCTACATGTTATCACTATGAGGACTAGTAGAAGACCAAAACAGTTAGTTTCTATCGCTGCAGAATAGTAATGTGTCTTCAAAAACTCACATTCAGCATGTTTATTCAATTTAAGACACAAGAAATTATGTGATGCCTGAATAATGTGATGAGGTTAGGATTATCAGGCAAACTCTAAGTTAATAAGGTGCCAGTCTCAACATTATCTTTCCAGTGCTAGTCGATGTTCGTGACAAAATGTAGCATCATAAAGTGCACACAAACGCTGCTCTCTTCACAGTAGTCTTCCAACTCGTACATACCCTGTCTTGACATTAAGTGTAATCGGAACGTCAGTGTTACTTTAGTTAGGCTTGAACATGGAAGTAATGAAATTCACATTAAGGATTGAAATACAAATTTGAGACCTGATAATTTCAGTATTAAGGATGGGGATGAACCTCCTGCCCCGGTCGAGCCTGGGGAGACTGTCACAGACTTTGACTCTCTCCCTGATGAGATTTTCACTGAGGCTGTGGATTTATCGAAAGGTAATGAAGCCTGACAACAACAGAAAATATCTGTCCCTGCCATGATGGTGGAGGCCTTGTGCTTTTAGCCCCAAAATCTGAAAAGGGGGCATTTTAACATTGTGCTGTATGGGTGTACCTCTGGAATATTTGAAATTTGAGCACACCGGGGCCATGTCAGAAAATTCCTAGTGTGAACCCTGACTCTGTATAGTATTCAAGTCAACCTTGTTAATGACATACAATCAGCCAAGTGACCGTGTCAGACCAACAAAGACATTAAGAGTGCAAGGGCCTTTTTCTATTTATATATTTATGTCATAGACAAGTAAATATTTTTCTGAATTTTTTGGTAACATGTTGGGAGTATTTGCCTTTGTTGTACATGTTTCACCTCTGTCTATCATTTAACGTATTTGTGTGATGATTCAGCATCGAGCATGAAGCAGAGACTGGCCACGCCCGAGTTCCAGCCTCCAGGTGCCTTGAAGCTCTATCCGCAGCACAAGCACCTGTTGATCAGGAAATCTCTCAGGTGCAAGGTGAGGAGGAACTGACAGAAGCCTTTGAAAAGCCTTCTACATCTTTGATGTAAAAATACAAGAGTGACCTCCCCTCAAATTGTCTCCCTTTATCATAAGTGTCTGGCCCGTTCACAAACTGTTGACTTCCGTATTACATTACTTCCACATTGACAGGGCAAAATAATGACAGATGGTCATTTATAGAGTTAATATCGCTTCATGGTATTTGTTATTCTCTTGAAAATATTTCGTATTAAACTGTAAAATCTTTTATTCAACTCTTCAATCGAGACTGTTTGTTTCGCAAAGTACCATTTTAGTTACTTGACCAGCGTGTATCCTTTTGCTTCCAACAGCAGTCTTGAAGTTTTCAAGAATATTTTTTGTTTAAGTTGACACATGAAATATCCTCTATTTCTTCCATGTTATTTAATGTTAGAAGCCAGTATTTAACGCCTCTTCTGTATGGTATTCTTCAGGAGTGTGAACATAACCTGAGCAAGCCTGACTTTAACCCAGTCTCCATCAAGTTCAAGATCCAGCTTATAGCACTGTAAGTTGCATGTACATTGACTTTACATACAACGAAACGTGAAGTAACGTGTTGGTGTCACAGGATCACACATCTAATTGTGACATGTGTTAAGGCATCTTCCCGAGGCAAATGAGTTAACTGTTTCAGTCCAGTTTCAGCCCACCCTTGCCGAACTAGGATGGTATTATGGAGTTATGTTTTGGCTGGACCAACGAGTCTATGCATAGTCCAATCACAATAGCGCAACGAAATCGAAATCCGGTTCGTAAACTGTCATGCAGATTTCGGTCCATTACAGAATTTGTAAAGCATGTGCACCGCCAACTCGTTGTCAACAGATATTTTCCAAGTCTTTTCATGTTTTTAATCAAGGTGCTCACGTGATTTGATGCACATCGCCATGTAAGACCCGTTTTATCACAATATAGTTTTTGATTATCGATCAGATCGTCTTGACCAGGGGCCACCATTTTGTTTGAAGCAAATGCAATTGATACGAGAGGTGGAATCTGATTGGTCCATAAGAGAGGCATAGTAAGGACATAACTCGTAATTGTCACTGGTGGTGCTATGATCGAGCCCAGGAATTCCAGCCTAGTTCAGCAAGGGGGGATACTGGACTTTTAAAGTCAGTTAACTCACTTGCCTCGGGAAGATGATGTGAAAGGTGAAGAGTGATACGTTGGAAGTCATGTTCCATTTCACATTTCCATTATTACTGTAGTAATAGAGTTTTGCGGTTCTTAAACATTTCTGAGTTTAATGTGTGAAAATCTTTTGCACTATATTTTGTAAAGATATTGATAACTTCTTATTTTCCTACAGGAACCATGTCCCAGAGATCCGCATCCTGTCACCAGCTGTCTTCCTGCCACAGAAGGTGAGTGTTACACCATTTTCCTTGTAGCATCTTTGAGAGGCATTTAGAAGTTGGAGTACTAAGTAAGGATAAGATTTATGGATGAACAATTTCTTTATTACAATTAGGATGATGTTTTGGTTGAGGTTCTGACACCTTGCATGATAACGGTGTTAGAACCTTCACCGAAACGTCGCTCCTAATTGTAATAGAGAAGTCGTTCATACATAAATCTTATCCTTACTTATTTTCCTTGTAGCATACATTAATTTAGAAAATGGTTGCCCCACAACAAATTCCCTCTTCTTCATTTTAGCTCACCTTACTGAAAGTCAAGTGATCTGATGTCATGGTCTATTTGTCCATTGTCTGTTGTAATCTCTGAAACAATCATCCCAATGAGTCTGAAACTTCACCACTTGTTCCCACCGATGATCATGCCTACTTTGTTACCATGGGACCCGAAAAGATCCGGGGTAGAATAGGTCTTCAGCAGCCCATGCTTGCTCTAAAAGGCAACTATGCCTGTCTTTACAGGCAACTGACGGGATCGGGTGGTCAGGTTTGCTGACTTGGTGGTGCATGTCATCGATCCCAATTGCGTGAATCGATGATCATGATGTCAATCACTTGATTGTCTGGTCCAGACTTGATTATTTACAGACCGGCGTTATAAAGCTGGAATATTGCTGAGTGCGGCGTTAAACAACAAACAAATAAACAATTGTTACCATGGCCAGAGCTCCAGATAACTTTTTGAGCAATCAAGTTTTTACTCTAGAGTTTCTATAATAATTGGGTCATTACATTTTTCTTTAGGTAACCAATATGTTTCCACTCATCTAGTCATCACTCTATTCGTTTTTTCCCCATAATTGTGAACATTTTAAGATTTAAAAAAAAATGAAATAATGTTTCAGATGTATGTAACTGTTCTAAATATGGCCTTGACTCGGAAAGTAAATTAGCTCATAATTGTGTTTCGGAAATTAGCTCCTTTGTACGCATGCTGAAAAAGCTTCATTGGGTATTTACGTGAGTTGTTTTTATACATTTGAGTTTTTCATTTAATGCATGCGTTTCTGTACGCAAGTTAATTGAAAGTAATTAGGTTTTGCATATTTTGGGGGAGGGTATCTTACACAAATACGCAGCTTATCTGTAACTCTGCATGGCACTATGTGATTATTATCCACTTGAAATGCTCAGAGCATTAGGTGCAGATGACATTCAGCTGTCCTTGCCAAATTGTTGCCCTGTGTGGTCACACTTGAATTGGTATAATAATACACCAGGCATTCCAGAAGGAAGACAACAATCTTATCAACTTATGAAACAGTCACGGTCCCAGTTGCTGATTGTGTTTGCACTTGTTGACACATTGTTTCCTTCCCGACAGGAGACCTTGGTCACGCTGACACTGAGCAACCCGTCAGTGTACAATACCACGGTGCACTTTCTGTCCCTGGATGATGAGAACGAGACTGGCGACGAGGTCAATGCCAAAGTAGGTCATATAACAGATCAAAACTATAGTGTTTGTGCTAAAGTACTGTCGGAAATGCTACAAAACTGCATTTTGCCTGTTAAAAAAGGGTATAATTTTTCACAGACAATACTTTTGGATTCCAAAACCACAACCTTCCAATCCTCATCCTGTTTCATAGCTCTTAACTATTCCATCAAGTTTCCAAGTAAATATAATGCTACCCCATCAACGTACATGTCAATTAAGTACAATAACAGCAATATCTTGAGACCACCCCTAACTCGGTGACATTTGTACCTGTGAGAATGCACGGAACGGTGTGAGGTCATAACCCCAGGTTATAGGCCATTTCATACATGCATGACAACACCCGAATATTTTCTAAGTTGATCATCATTTCACCCATAAAAGTACATTTTGAAGGTAATCACATTGTCAGTTAGGACAGGCTAGATTAGGGCAATTTGCATTATTTTGATATATGCTCTTTTTATAGTCCTATGATTTGTTTTTATTAAATGAAACCAGAAAAGCAGTTTTCTAGCATTTCCGACAGTACTTTAAGTGTAACCAAGGGAGTTTAAAAGTTTGCAGCTTTTATTTTGGTCTGTAGATTGTGAACAGGAGGAGCAGCACAAACAGGGGGAGAAAGTAACATTAGCCAAATGATAAGGCTAGTGATAAGTTCTCTCCCTGCCTTTATTAAGGCATGTATTCATAAATATTCACCAAATGTGAATGTTGGTCAAGAAGTTTCAAAAATACCCCAAAGCTGTAAATGTGGCAACATTGAAATCACAAATGTGGGACGTTTTGTAACAGTTTTGAAGTAAGATAAGAATAAAGCCACTTGGTGGTAACACTTGAATGATTGTTTGTTTTGTTAGTTTTGTCATTAAGTGGTACATATTTGAAACATATCTTCATAACGTACATACTTCTCTATATGTTTCTATTGTTCGCGTTTCTTTTGGCGGTCATTATAGAATGACATGTCTTATATTTGAACTAATAAACTTCAAGCTAGCACTCATGTCAATTGACCAATGGCTGATCAGGAAAGCAATATCACATTGGAGATAACATTTTATTGCACACGAGCAGTATTTCTTGTTGGTGTAAGGATAACAAAATATGGGTTAATAACTTAAATCCTAAAGCTAGAGGGTACATTATCATGATGATGGTTTACGTCATGAAATGGGTGAACTGAAAGTTTCTGTGAACAGTAATTGCTGATGGTCAACCGTGCTCTGCATGCATTCAGATGTGTTTTGGAGGTGAGAGATTCGGAGCCTAGTAACGAATTCTATTGTGTATCTGGAATGCTATGTATGTACTGACATACTGTCCATGTAACTCCTCAGTGTGTGCTGCCAAAGGGAGAGTTAGTGATCGCACGTCGTGACGATGCTGCCATGTACGATGATCAGAACCAGCTGCAGCAAGAGTTCAAGGATGACCCTGGGTGAGTCTCAACTATAGGGAGAAGCTGTTACAAAGATTCAATGTTTTACATTAGGCTTAAAAAAATAGAATAACTTGTTCTCAGGCAGTGACATTTGAAAATATAGTGCGGGCGGATGGTGTTTTTTTTTGTTGCTTGTTCAAACTAGTATGAAACCAAATAAACAGTTGTGTTCCAAGAACCTGGGAAAGAGCCTCCCTTCATAAACAAGCATACAAACTCCTATTGCTACCTTACCATACCACGCGATGCGCCATAATGCAGTGCACATGGTAAGGTTAGTAACTGTGTGCTTTATTGGATTGCATTGTTTTTAAGTATTAGGATTTTAATTTTGAAAATGGAAATAAACACAAAATGTGCGGCAGGTTTTATGATGATGTGGGTTGCACCTGAGAACCAAGACTATTACTTTTTTTAGCCTTACAATAACCTGGTATGAGCATCGCCAGAACACAATGGTAGTGTTTGCACAAACTTTGTGCAGTAAGTTTTAATTCATTCATCATTACTTTAATTCGGGAATAAGGCCTCAGGCTCTTGTACAATTGATAACAAATATTCTTTGAACAATGGGTACAACATATCAAACTAGAGACAGGTATGAAGATCAAAGAATTGACAGATCTTTGATTTAAAAATTTATATTCTGTATAACCAACCCCACAGATGTTAAGGTTACTTAGTGTGTATGCTTCAGTCCCTCAGCATAAGGGTCGGTCGGGTAGCCTAGTGGGTAAAGCGTTCGCTCGTCACGCCGAAGACCCGGGTTCGATTCCTGACATGGGTACAATGTGTGAAGCCCATTTGTGGTGTCCCCCGCCGTGATATTGCTGGAATATTGCTAAAAGTGGCTAAAACAATACTCACCCACTCACCCCTCATCATAAGAAGAGACCCGTGAAGATCCGGGGTAGAATATAGGTCTTCAGCAACCCATGCTTGTCGTAAGAGGCAACTAACGAGATCGGGTGGTCAGGTTCGCTGACTTGGTTGATGCATGTCATTGTATCCTAATTGCGTGGATTAGCTAGGTTTGGACAGATTCCTGCCTAATGATAAAAACAATTTCAAGCTGAATGTCGGGACAGTTTCCCTGTGTTGAAGAGGAGCTAGGCTCCGACCATTTGGCAGTTGTAGCAAGTTGGATTCAAATCACCAGCAACCCATGCCTGTTGAAATTAGTGATTAACAGGATCACGTGGTCAGGTTAGCTGGCTCTGTTGATGTATGTCATCCCATCCAACTGCGTAGATTGATGCTCATGATGTCTATCACAGGATTGTCTGGTCAAGACTCTATTATTTACAGGCTGCCATCATATAGCTGGAATATTGCTGAGTGCGTAGTTTAAAAACAAACAAACAAAACAAAATCATAAGAAGATCTATGTAATGCGTGACTAGTCTCCGTGATCTAGGGACTATTTCCAGTCTAGGCCTAGATGTTGTCAGTAACTTGTTTAAAACTGAAACAGTTTGGAATTTGAGGGTCTCCAGTGTATTTGTTATGACTGCCTGTTGACCCAAGCCTCGTCCCCCTTTTGATGTCAGGATGTCTGATTTATCTCCCCCTACAGTTTTTGCTTCATGATTATCCCTCATAGTTGTTGATGAATGGCCATGGTTGATGTGTTGCAATGGTTGATGTATGGCCATGGTTGATGTGTGGCAATGATTGATGTATGGCCATGATTGATGGTTGATGTGTGGCCATGATTGATGTATGGCCATGATTGATGGTTGATGTGTGGCCATGGTTGATGTATGGCATGGTTGATTGTATGGCCATGGTTGATGTAAGGTCATGGTTGATGTAGGGCCATGGTTGATGCATGGCCATGGTTGATGTGTGGCCATGGTTGATGTAGGGCCATGGTTCATGTAAGGTCATGGTTGATGTATGGCCAGTGTTGATGCATGGCCATGGTTGATGTAGGGCCATGGTTGATGTGTGGCCATGGTTGATGTAGGGCCATGGTTGATGTGTGGCCATGATTGATGTTGGGCCATGGTTGACGTAAGGCCATGGTTGATGTGTGTCCATTGTTGATGTATGGCCATGGCTCTAGTAGATGATAGTTTTACTATTAAGATGGAAACAAAGTAACTACTATTTGAGTGAACTTTTATTTTCAGTGTGATAGCATTCCGGAAGTCCAACAAGATTGGCATCTTCATGAGAGTGAAGCCCAACTTGAAAGAGGGGGATGTCAAGGTAAGTGATGATTATGGTTTATTGCTATAGTTTATTCATTCATATACTCTCGCAACTTAATGACGTCATATAATGGACGACATAATTTATAGATAGGGAAGTGTCAAGTGAGTTGTTCCCCACCTGTTTATAAAATGGACTTGTCAGACATTGCCGAGGTCGGATTCTATTTAGGGAGTCGTCATATTTTTTTTTTTAAATATACGACTCGTGGTCGTTTATCGTGCAATAAACAACTCCCACTCGTTTATTTCTTCAGCAGTGCCTAAATAAAGTAAATATAGTCCTTGTCATGTCTCTAGTGTTAAAACTTGAAGATATAAAGGGTCCTGGATTCAAATATAGGAACAAAGCTCTATGTTAACACTGAAGCATCAGTTGTTTGATAGTGGTTCAAGATATTTCAAAGCATAAAATGTTCTTCATGAGGTATTTCGTTTAGCAGATGTAATTTCTTTGGGATAGGCATATCTCCATTGCCACTAAATTGGCTAGAGCTCGGTATAAAACAGTTACACATATATTTCACAAATGCTCCCCAAAATTCTGTCCTTTGATTCTCCTCATTCTGTTGAACAAACAACTGACTGAACTGTTCCACTGGCTGGTGGACTTGGTGCTTCTGATTCAGGTAAAAATGGATGTCTAGTTCATTTCTGGGGTCTTTTTGACAGTGGTCAAACTCAGGATGTGATGAGAAAATTCTTATTAATAGTCTTGCAAACCATGTGTGAGTCCCAGCATATTTAAGTCATTAGAATTATTGATTTATTTTGCTGGCTTAAAGGTTATGTCAACGAGTTCAACAGCTGGCTACCTCTACCACAATGCTAGTAATATTGCCTGTCTCTGGGCTGAGACAAAGCTTGTTAGAAGAGAAAATAGGAATTAGGGCTGTGCAAGTTATTCTGTTCATACCATTATAACTACTGAAATAATGTAACAAATGTTATATTTGGGGTAAAACTTTCTTAGTAAAGTACATATTCCAGTACTTTGGGGGGTTGAGTCCCATGTTTTTTAGAATTTTCTTAACTTTAACATTTATGCGAGCAAAATCGCCCCCCCCCCCCCCCCCCCCCCCCCATATGCAAATAAATATTGAAAAGGGATGCAAAAATAATTCAGAGTGCATGCAGATAAATTTCATATACATGTTAAGAACAAAAGCCACTACCAGGTATTTCATAATTGGTGCCACTTTAAGTTAATTTACATACATCATTTAAAAACTACAGTATACAGTCAAATCCTTCATAATCTTCTTGTGTGAGCACTTGTAGTTTCAGTTGGAGAACGCGATCTATTTTTAACTGACTTATAGAGTACTCTATGCAATTTTTTTACATTTTTCTTGGACCCCAGTTTTGTTTCTTAAAGTGGGTCCCCTACGATTAAAGAATTTATTTCCCCTGCTCCCCAAAATAAATAATCCAGGTAAATCACTGACTTACCTATTTGAACTTACTTGTTATTTTAACAGATAAAAACAGTATTGATGTTTACTTGCTAGACTGTAGTCAACACTATAAACATGTACATAATTCAAGTTTTGTAAACTGGTACATACCAGGGTAGTGACAGGGTTGTGAACTCTCCTCGGAAACGCAGAAAATTGCGTTTTTTAAAACAGTAGTCCTCGGAAAAAATTATCTTCCTCGGAAAAATATAATCAAAGATTTTAAAAAAATTCTCCAAAAATATTATTTTGTTTCCCGCAAACTGTCACAGATTGTCCTGTTTTTGATCAGAGCTTCCAGCATCATATATGCCTTTACTATTATTCATGACACATAGGGTTGAAGTTTATGGTAGGATTGCTCCCAGACCTGGCGGGTAGCCAGGTGCGCGAAGCTATGCTCGATTTTTTAAAAGTACTGATTTAACTTTGAAATTTTATTGTATCCGCCATCTTTGTTTATTTGACTTGACTTTTCTTGTAGTTATGTTTACTGTATAAAACTGAAGGGTTTTTAGCTATGTTCCCCAAGCAGATAGCTATTTCCATTCAAGCTAGACTTACATCTAGTCTCTGGAATGAACATACAAGGGGCGTTCAATAAGTTTTGCAACTTGGGCATTTGTGTTTACACAAACAATGTCAACTCAACTTGTGGCAGGTGTGACACTGGTCATAACATCAGGTTGACACGTGTCATAACAAGTTCCAGACACAACAATAAGTTAGATGTGATGGCTTTATTCACCTAAGGGTGGTCACAATCATGGATTCTCTCAAACATGAACAATGTGCTGCAAATAAAGTTCCTTACCAAGGAGGGATGCAAAGCAAAAGAAATCCATGATCGCATGTGTAAAGTGATGGGTAAGGATGCGCCTGACTATTCCACAGTTTGCCGTCAGGCAGGCCTTCAGATGCCACCCAACCGGAAACCTTAGAAAAAAGAAGATTATCTACTTGGAAAGTTTATATTAACATTAGAATTGAATGTCTTGTACATAGTGGTTACAATCAGACTGATCACATTTTGCCAGCTCATACCTCACAGTTGTTACGATGTCATTTTGACAGGACCCAACTTGTAATCATTTCCCTGTACATAGTTGTGTGATTAGTGACACTGCTGCAGAAGGAAGTGCCTTGTGTTCTGCACCAATGAGGAGCTAGGTCAAGCCATTCACTGGTTAGTGGGGAAACCCCATACATATCTGTCATTTAAGATAAGTGAACTTTGTTTATGGCTGAGCATTAGGATTGATAAACATCATTACATTGAGCTTATCAACATAGGGGTGTTTCAAGTATATTTGTTGTTTAACGCTGCACTCAACAATATTCCAGCTATATGATGGCAGCCTGTAAATAATAGAGTCTTGACCAGACAATCCTGTGATAGACATTATGAGCATCAATCTACGCAGTTGGATGGGATGACATCCATCAACAGAGCCAGCACACCTGACCACGTGATCCTGTTAATCACTAATTTCAACAGGCATGGGTTGCTGGTGATTTGAATCCAACTTGCTACAACTGCCAAATGGCCGGAGCCTAGCTCCTCTTCAACACAGGAAACTGTCCTGACATTCAGCTTGAAATTGATTTCTGTGATTTGGATCTGTCCACACCTAGCTTATCCTGATTTTTGTCTATAAAAATTACCAGGCCAAACAAAAAGGGACACAATTTTACTACATTAATTTATAATCAGTTATTGTCAGTTTGAAATCCAGACTGAAACTGTGTCACCAAGGACCAATTCATCATGCTGTTGACAATCCCTAATCTGGATTGACTAATCACATTGCTGTCTAACCTGGACCCTGTCGGTCCCTCACAAGCCTGGTGCAGCATGTTGAGACTGGTTCCATTGTAGTTTCAAAGTCCAAATCCTAATAAACATTAAGTTTATTATTATGATCATGATGTTATACCATGTCATGTGATTGACTTTCTTTGATTTTTTTATCCTCCAAATGTAGTGTGTATATAGTAGGGTTGGGATAATAAACCAACTGTGTGATCCGATACATATCACGATCCCTTGCTCACGATCCAATATGTTTTATTATCCCCCGCCGCGCGAAAGCGCGAAGCGGGGGATATAGTATTCACGACCGTCCGTACGTCCCGTACGTCCGTACGTCCCACCTGTTTGTTGCCGCGATATCTCAAGAACTAAACACTGGATTGTCTTCATATTTGGAACTATGGTGTATATACAGACTCCGCAGACACCAGTCGGTTTTGGTGACCTTGATCCCATTTTCAAGGTCACAGCAGGCAAATCTGCTTTTGGAGTTGGAAAACGGTGTTGCCGCGATATCTCAAGAACTAAACACTGGATTGTCTTCATATTTGGAACTATGGTGTATATACAGACTCCGCAGACACCAGTCGGTTTTGGTGACCTTGATCCCATTTTCAAGGTCACAGCAGGCAAATCTGCTTTTGGAGTTGGAAAACGGTGTTGCCGCGATATCTCAAGAACTAAACACTGGATTGTCTTCATATTTGGAACTATGGTGTATATACAGACACCGCAGACACCAGTCGGTTTTGGTGACCTTGACCCCATTTTCAAGGTCACAGCAGGTAAATCTGCTTTTGGAGTTAGAAAACGGTGTTGCCGCGATATCTCAAGAACTAATCGCTGGATTGTCTTCATATTTGGAACTATAGTGTATATACAGACACCGCATCCACCTGTCAGATTTGGTGACCTTGACCCCATTTTCAAGGTCACAGCAGGCAAATCTGTTTTTGGAGTTGGAAAACGGTGTTGCCACAATATCTCAAGAACTAATCGCTGGATTGTCTTCATATTTGGTACTATGGTGTACAGGCGGGGGATATTTCGTCACTCTGTGACAAATACTTGTGATACTTGTATGTGCTCTTATCTGTGGTGCGTTAGTGACAATTAACAGTTGGCAGTGTCAAGTATGGCTCAATGGATGAAAATATTTACCTTTTCTCTACTTATTATCCCCCGCCCAACAAAGTTGGCGGGGGATATAGAAACAGCTCCGTCCGTCCGTCACGTTTCATTTCCGGAGCATAACCCAGAAACCGTTCAAAAAATTTTCATGAAACTTTGCAGGTCTGTCAAGTACATGCTGAACTGGTGCCTTTTGCTATTTAGAAATTTCAGTAAATTTTATTTTTTTATGTTTCATTGGCAACAAGATGGACTTAGGTTCTGTGAGGGTAGGGTTCGTTTCCGGAGCATAACTCATAAACCGTTCAATATTTTTTCATCAAACTTTGCAGGTTTGTCAGGTACATGCTGAACTGGTGCCTTTTGCTATTTAGAAATTTTAGAAATTTTTATTTTTTACGTTTCCATGGCAGCAAGATGGAGTTAGGTTCCAAACTCTTCTTTTTTTTACAATTTCCATGACAAGTTCCACCTCGGTTAAGAAAGGTTAGGGTTTGTTTAGATTTAATTATGTCATAAATTCTGCAACAGGGGCGGGGGATATAGCCACGTTAGTGGCAAACTCTTGTTAGTGTTTAGTGTAACAGCCATTAAAGTAAACATTTAGGTATGAATTAATATTTTCTACTTAGTGTGTGGCTGTATCATGAAGTAAAATATCACAATCCACTGAGGACCTTTTGCTGAGATTCACATATTTGATTTAAAGTAAATCTTGGGTTCATGACAATGTAGTCTAAATAAACGAAGCAAAACTATTTTCATAATCTATGCTACAAGCAGAGAGCATTGTAAGATTCTGACTATATCATTAGCAGTGTCTATGAATCACTATCAAATAGTTAAAATACCAGGTGTTCGCGGGTATCCTGCCCAAACATTGGCACCAGTCACAAACACATGAAAAGGCAAGGCAAGTGTTCACCTGTAAAGTCACAGGAACATATGGTACAACTACAAGTCAAAATAGGGAAATGCATCAGTCATCATTTTTGTCACTGATGTGTCACATTTGGAAATGTCCTCCACATTAAACGTCTACTATTAAACGTCCTGAAAGCTTTACAAAGGCCATGAATTATGTTACCCAAGAGTTGTACAGCATCTTGTATGTTGGCAGGTGCGTTTCCGGATGCAGCACGAGTACCGCAACACGACCACGGCACTGCAGAGTGAGGACAAGGAGCCCCAGATTGTATGGCTGGAACACACCATCTACATGGCAGTCGGCCAGATACAGAGCAAATAGAGGGAAGCAGACCCAGATTGTATTGCTGGAACACACCATCTACATGACAGTCGGCCAAATACAGAGCCAGGGGAAGAGTTGGCCAACTCACACTGATCAGGGCCCACTTGCACAAAGCGATCTTAACACTAAGATGATCGTAACTCACATTCTTTAACATTGGCTTACGATAGTCTTATAGCTAAGATTGCTTTGTGCAACTGGGTCCAGGAGTCTGGTTGACTGGGACACCTCATCCAGTCTACCATTAATAATTGAAGCAAACTATATATTCTGTCTTTGCGCACCAAAATTCGCGAAGTCTTCAGACTTCCTTGTCATCTGGTTGATGTGACAATATGTCACGGTTGACTGAAAGTCAGTTTGTTTCGTATAATTGTGTAACACCCTTGAGATTATGTCAACGGTTCAGTTTAACTCCATTAGATTATCAACACCCATAGTCACAAATGTTTGATGCAGGAATACTTAACAGAAGCTTGTTTGAGCTATGAGTGTCATCTACATCATATGCCAAGTCGCATGTAATGCTCTGTCAGCCTTGAACATGTCATACAAGTGCAATATGTGTGTCTGTGTTTTGTCAGTAACATCACTATCAGCCATCTCAGTGGAAGCAGCCTGTTCAGTGTAGAACCAACGAGTTACAACAAATTACAGTGTATCCTCAACAATGAGTGCATGTCGTAAGCCCCTAGACTTTGGCAAGACTTGCAGAATTCATTCACAACAGACGGATAATTCGTAAATTCTAAGCTCCAAAATATATATACTACTCAAAACAAGTTAAAGAACATCCACAATTGGAAGACTGTGTGTTGCAATATTCACCAGGCATGACAGTTTAACTATAGTCATGTGAAAAAATCAAGTGGTCTTTTCCTTCTCGGAGTAGTATATATTACTCAATGTCATTTTAAGAGGAAACTGAAGAAAAATCTATGATATGTCAACCTTTTAGAGAGGCTCACCTATTGTACCGATGACAATGTAATCACGTTTTGACACCATATCATATTGTTCTCAACACTGAAATAGTGTGACATCATATTGCTCTTTTGACCAATCAGCACTGAGATTGCAAAAATATATGTGCAAATATCAGAAAGTTATTACCCTTAATCTTTCTACCCTACATGGTGATAACTAAAAATATTGCTGGTTAACTCGGGAGTGGTTTATTATGATTTATCTGTGGTGCTTATTCATGGATATATTCAAACTAATATATCTTGAGTATCTACATTGGTAAAGGTCTAATATTCCCATTTATGTTTGGTCCCCTTCTTAATGTTGTAGGGTATAGCCACTTTGCCTCAAGTCTCCATGTTTTCTCTAGGTTTCCACTGAGTAGTATTTATTTCCTTGTATAGAAATGCATTTATTGGAAATGTTTTTATTTAAAAATGTATATTGATAACTGTTTGAAATGGAAGTGGTGAATGGAAAATTCTGTACAGTTCTGTGAATATATAGGCAATGATTGAATGATATAGTTAATGCACCAAGACTACATGGAGTAGTTGTCATGTTCCATTAGATGCAGTTGCAGTGGTGACAGATGGTATTTATTTCCTTATTGCTCATTGAACTGGATACAATAAATAAACACATGAATTGGTTCTATTTTTGATCAGGAAATAAAAATATTGTCATACCCCCACCCCCCAACCCCCTGTAGTTATTATTATCAACCAGAACTCAGTTTTCCTTCCTTCCCTGAAAGGAGGCTTGTGGAAATATCAGACCTCTGATCCTTATCATTGCATGTTGTCAACTACCACAATGTCAGCCCCTGTCCCTGTTCTGTCAGTGTCACAATATTATCAATTATGAGAAATAGATTAGATAGTAATCCAAGTAATCCAAGTAAAGGGAAAGTTTCTAACCATATTTTCATTTGTGTGAAGGATCTTGTAATAATGTCTGACGTATTGGGTGTACAGTTCCTGCATGGAACATTCTGTTATGAGCCGTTAATTCCCCTTTCTACAGTTCCTTCTATTCAATGAAAGACAAATTGCGATGTGTGGCTGTGGCTAAGTCAGTTGGTATATGAGGAGCTTAAAACAATATTTCCTCTCTATTGCAATAGTTGTATAGCTGTAACAGTAGCATGATGGCAATTTTTACCTTCCCACAGTTCCTTGCCATTTTTATCTAACATGGTGTCCAAGCTCAGGAAATGAGTTACAGGGGGTAGTTTTTCCGGTGGTGGTGAAGCCCATTTCTTGTGTCCCCTGCCACAATGCTACTGGACTGTTGCTAAAGTGGGGTTAAACTCACTCCCTTCGTTTCTCTATTCTCTGAAAAGTTTTGATACCAATATGCCTCTTCAACAAAGATGTTTTAGGGAAAATGAATGGTAAAATAAATCATTATTGCATGGAAATTAACTTTTTTCTCATACTTCTGTTTAGAACGGTCGGGGACCGTATTAATGTTAAGCATTGATATTTTAATTTGTCGTTGCTGTATTGCTACTGGGGTCCTCGGACAGTTTTCAATACATCTACAGCTAGATCGATTATTACACCTCTAGTTGTCATGTGTAAGAAATCCCATTGAGCATTGAAGGAATGTACCACTGTCAAAGTTGATTGTTAAAATGGTGACTCTATTTATCTTGTTTATCTCTTGCTTGATGCTGATGTTTCAAAGTGCTAATAAAGCCTTAAAAATGTTGTTTTGTTCTTGTTTCTGCAATGCTGTGTCATTCAAATGTTCAAGACCCGTTAAGATCCGGGGAAGACTTGGTCGCCACCAACCCATGCTTGACGTAAAAAGCGACCATGATTGTTGTAAGAGGAATCAGGTTGTCAGGCTCGCTGACTTGGTTGATGCATGTCATCATATCCCAATTGCATGAATCCATGCTCATGATGGAAATGGATTGTCTGGTCCAGACTTGATTATTTACAGACCGCTGTCATATAGGTGGAATATTGCTGAGTGCAGCGTTAAACAACAAACAAACAAAATCAAAGGTTCAATGTACGGTTTGAAGTGACTATGAAAGTATGGGCTCCATGGAGGTAGATTATCATTGTCTCTTGTGTTTGTGTGGGGTTCTGTCTACTCACTGAGTTTTTTGTTGTTTCTTGTTTCCTACCAGCAATATTTATTTAAGAGTCTGGACAAGACAATCCAGTTGTTGATATTGTAAGCATCCATCCACGCCATCGGGAACGATAACATCAGCTAATGTCAGCGAGTCTGACCAACCGATCCACATGGTTGGCTCGTACAGCTTGCATAGGTTGAAGAGGACCAATTCCAACCCCAAATAACCATGGGGTTCTACTCGGCAATGTCACATAACCTTGATCAGGCTCTGCAGGCTGTAGATGTTTGTTTGTTTGTTGCTGAACACCACACTCAGCAATATTCCAACTGTATGATGGCAGCCTGTTGATAAATGACTCTGGCCCAGACAATCCAGTAGTTTAGAAACTGAAGCCAATCAATTTTTGTTTATATCATAAAAAGAAGTTCACATCCCTAAAATCTCTCTCTTATGTTCATCACATTAAATGCCATTCAAAGACTTGTACATGCACTTTAGTATATGTCACATTAACTTATTTATATACTCTAGCTCCAGTATTGAAGCAAATATTTTTGGCTGTGAAGACTGTTTCAGTCCAAACAATAGGAACAGGGTCCTTCAAATTGCTTTAAGTTATCGAAGACCCATGACTAATTCTTCCATTCTTGCTCAACTTGCACTTCATATACAAGGTCGGAGTAGAAAGGAAGTGTTGATGTTAATTGTAGGAATGTATGCAAATACGAAGATGTCCGATTTTCGATCACAAATCACTTAATTTCGTTAATCCGACATACTCGTTAATCCGATACAATCATGTGCAACCAACGATGTCGGATTAACGAGACTTGACTGTATCAAAATAAGAAAAATCAAGATGAAATAGTTCTGAATTGGTTGTATTTTCTAGACCTGCTTAACAATTCTTATGAAAAATGATGGTACTTGCAATATGTAAAAAAAATACACTATATTCCTTTCAATCAGCCCCTTTGGGTATTCCATGTCAGCATAGGTTCCCAGTTCCTGAGATTACAGTAAGGATTGTGTGTCAAGATACCATTGCATTGTGGATCATTGTTTACGCTATCGACTACTGGATGGCTTCAACTCCATTGTATACATTTGTTGGGATATTGATAGAAATATGCTGACAATGGCTTGAAACAACAATTGCTCACTAAATCACTGGTGTCAATGGTGGAACACCTTGCTGGGAAGGGGTGTTTCTGTTTGTTTGTTGTTTAACGCTGCACTCAGCAATATTCCACTCAGCTGTATGACAGCGGTAAATAATCGAGTCTGGACCAGACAATCCAGTGATTGATATCATGAGCATCAATCCATGCAATTGGGATAAGATGACATCCATCAACCAAGTCAGTGAGCCTGACCCCCAGATCCCGTAAGTTGCCTCTTATGACAAGTATAGTCACCTTATAACTTAGTGTTCAACTGTTTGCTTGTCAGGAGGAAGGCACCTGATTCCCAACATGGGTACATTGTTTGAAACGGGTGGGGATCCGGAATAGAATTGTTCCCCAGCAAGCTAATCTGGTCATAAGATGTTAATTTATAGATCAGGTAGTCAGGCTCCGTGACTTGGTGATGGTATGTGATCATACCTCTGTGTAAATAGTTGCTCATTATATCAATCACTGTATTGTCTGGTCCAGACTTGATTATTTACAGGTCTTCAGCAACCCATGCTTGCCCTAAAAGACAGCTATGCTTGTGGTAAAAGGCGACTAATCAGGTGGTCAGGCTGGCTGTCTTGGTTGATGCATGTCATCTTATCTCAATTACATAGATCGAAGCTCTTTATGTCAATCACTGGATTGTCTGGTCCAGACTCGATTATTTAGTATATTTACAGACCCCGTCATATAGCTGGAATATTGCTGAGTGCGGCATTAAACAACAAGCAAACAAAGAAACGATTATTTATAATCTGATGTCATGTGGCTTGAATATTGCTGAGTGCAGTGTAAACCCTCATGCACGCAGACAGCCAAGAACGTGCGCGCACACACACGCACACACACACACACAGTGTGTGAAGCAGGGATGTTGCTGGATTATTGATAAAACAAAAACAACTGAAACAATACTGAGTTTGAATCTCAGATTCTCAACCACCATCTTGCTTTCGCAGAGATCATCGTAAGGTAGTCGTTTGTAAAGCAAACCTTGACAGTACTGTGTTTCGTTTTCGGTTTTTTTTTTCGTTTTTATCATTATGAAATGATTTTCATGTTTGTATGAAGTTTGTTTCTGGTGTCATTTCATATTCCACCTTGAACCTGCACCTCAGTTCAATACAATCCTACTGGCAATACGCACCTGGAACGTGTACTGAACGTGTATCGACATGAGCAAATGGAGGTTATAGTGTGGTTGAATGAGATAATTATCCCTTGACTTTCTCAAGTGTGTCTAGTGGTTGTTGAAGTTCGATCACCCTACCGTGTCATACCAAAAGATGTTAAAGGATGGTGATTGTTGATACCCAGCCTGGGGCTCGCATTAAGGGGCTAAACTAGGAACTGGTCAACTCGGAGTCGGTAAACATTAAGTGTATTTCACTGGGCTAGCGCTAGCACTATAAAGCTGGCATTAGTTTAGGCCATAACAAGCAGACACACACACACACACACACACACACACACACAGAGAGAGAGAGAGATGAGAGAGAGAGAGGCGTGCATGCACAACACTACACTTAATAGTCTTAAACCCTGCTATAGCTAGCGAGATGCAGTCATGCCCTTCCCAACATTCATCTACGTCGTCATGGCTAAAGGGGAATCCCCGCGTAAATCCCGACTGCGCCTGTCAATTGAATCGCAGTAACAGCCCGACGGATCACCATGCATTCAGTGCGAGGTAAATGTTGATCTTTTCACACCATATACAGTTTATATCTCCGAGTTAACGTCTATATTTGCCTACGTGGTATGGATTAATCATACGTTAATGAAATTATAAGTATCTGTTGTCTATATAACGGTACACATCCATATAATTAGCTTGACCAGTGTTGGGGTGTTGCCTGGCATTGCGTAGATATTTATAGAGCTTACGAACTGTTTTATTGGGTATAAGTATACAAACCGACATAGAATGTTCTTCGAAACTGTACTACGTGTATGAGACGTCGTCTTCAAGACGGAATACCGACTGTCGTGAATGAATGGCCAGTGATTGCGGTAACGATACCAGTATGTTAATGAAGTGTTTTAATATTTCATATACTCATAAACATAACTTTATTGAATTCAGCATATATATAGCCGATTAAAGAGATCGAACAGGGATTACACATGCATACTGTAAGAACAAAAGAATGTGTAATATCTTCTCAGCGACCAATCAAATCTGACTTCGGGAAGTACCTGGTCTCAAAGCAATCCCATGTAACTTCCTGCACGTGATACATTGTCACGTTATCTAACGAACGTCACTGCGATATTATGGATTGGATGGATCTCGTTAACACATGCAGATAACAATAGTTGAATAGTTTAATTTCACTTTCGTTTTATAGTTCTTTGTGTGTTTGTTAAAATGAATCCTACGTTCGCTTTAAAACGAAAGTAGAAAAAAAACATCGGCCATTCACAACGGCTTTTATGCGTCTTCGGGGTTGTGGTTCATGGTTGAAGCGTTCGCTCGTCAAGCCGAAGGCAAGGGTTCGATTCCCCACATGGGTACATTTCTGTTAACGATAACCAGATCCTTTGTTTCCTCGACTCTTAGACCGCCTCCGTGGTCTAGTGGTAGAGCGTCTGCCCGGTTCGATCCCCGGCCGCATCATACCAAAAGACGTTAAAATATGGTACTTGTTGTTGCCCTGTCTGGCGCTCGGCATTAAGGGGCTAAAACAAGGACTGGTCCACTTGGAGTCAGTATACTGTGTCTGAGTGGGGTATTCATGTTAAACTGCGGCATGTTATCTCAGTGTGCTAGCACTATAAATCGGCATCAGTCCCGACTAGAACAAGCAGCCACACACTTACGCGTGCATGCATGTCGCTATATAAGTGCAATAATCTTGGACGTGACGTTAAACCCCATTTCACCTCACCTCACTTCCACTCTTGAAAAATAAAAAATGACGGCGTAAGCAAGGTTACGCCCTCAGTATATCTGGGAAGCTGCTTACTTCGGTCAGCCCTCACCTAATTATACATTTTATTTGTGTTGCAAATTTCATAATACTCTTTCTTCTATGAATGATTAATTTGTTAAAGTGCTCGCGCGTCGCGCCGGAGGCCGGTTCGATCCCCCACAAATGATTATGTGTGAAACCCATTTCTGGTGTCCCCCACAGTGATATTGTTGGAATATTGCTGAAAAGCGGCGTAAATCCATTCTCACTCGTTCTTCTACATATAGTACTGATTCTAGGATATAGAACGGTGTTGTATACATTGACATTGTATAGCCAATGTGTAACTTATACAAAGGCACTCCGAAATAGAACCTACTGTATTTACATATTACGGGAGTGTCAGCATCACTAGCTATTTACCAACACAGTGCTTAAAGAGAAGCGACCCTAGTGCAGAGTAATACCTTAAAATAGCCTCGATATGAATAATCACAGCCATTCAAAGGTCGCAATACCCACCCTATCAAATAACAACAGTGTCATGTACTGGTCATGTCAAGTTCTAAGACCTTATTAAACAAACTGAGACAGGTAAGCAACTTTTTCATGTCCAAGATCCACGGAGAGTGTATTTATTAAGTATCTTATGAGATAAGTAACCGTTGTTTGATCACCTGAACCATGAACTTTGGTCAGAGAGCTTAGATTATACATCACATGTAAGTCGTCCGTTACTCCTTTCCCGACAAGCCCCTGCATGTAACCGTCAGACTATTATCACCACGACTACCACCACTACCAGAACAACAACTACTACTACTACTACTACTACTACTACTGCTGCATATTCAAAAACACATGATGTTATGGCCCGTTCCTTTTATTAACGTCTTCGGCATGCCTGTGGTTTTGACTCAGAGGTCCATCCACAGAACATGCACATTGAACAGAATGTTTCGCAGCTATTCTTGTCTAATGAGACACCACACGTAACATGTGTTTCAGTGTGGGGCAGGACCAACATCCTAGAATCTCTCAGATATTGAATAATATTCGTGACAGTGAAACACTGCATTGGTCATTAAATATGTTCATTACTTTGTGGGGGCACGGGTGGCCCAGTCGCCTAAGGCGCCACGATTCACTGTGCAGAATTGCATCCCTTGGGCACGCCAGAAACCTATGATTGTGGGTTCGAATCCCGGTTCGCCCCGATTATGTTTCTGGGTTCGTCAGCACCATACCCGTGCTTGTGGGTTTCACCGAAGTGGTAAACGTCTGGGACCTGCATCACTTGGGGCTTTCGTCCCACATTGAGCTGTGATATAACTGGAATATTGTTAAAAGTGGAGTTAAACCGAACTCACTCACTCATTTCTTTGTAACCATTTTTGTCGCTAATACATTGGTATTTATTGTCACTTATGTGCCAATAAGTGAGTAAGGAAGGTTTTAAGCCACTCCAAAAAATGTACCTGAAACAGATTGAAACAAATCGGTTTAGTCATGAAGCCGTAAAGTTAAATCAATAGCCAAACAATGGTGCCGCTATCTTATCTCTTGACAAACTTTCCATGTTATCAAGTTTTTGAATTTCATTTAGAAGTAACACACATAAGAGAGAAAATGTATGGGTGTCAATTTCATTGTTATGATGAAGACAACGTCTCGGAGTATGCTCACTCATCAGGAGCAGTGGTAAATGGAAGTCAGTCCATCCATGGAAGCCATTTGTCCATTGCTAATTACCAATCAGCGATAATTAACCCGCTGCCTCCTTGTCCATTGGTCTCATTTAACCCCTAGGTTCGATTTCTCCAATCACCTATCGGCGCTAGTTAACTGTCTGCTTCGCTTGTTAATGTTTCTACCTGTGCTATCTTTTACCTTTGATGTTCTTACAGGTACATATGTACATATATATGTTCTCAGATCTCTGCCTCCTAGCTTTCGTTCACCTGGTGAAGGAGTAAGCCTATACTCCGAAACGTTGTGTTCCTCATAATAAAGAAGCTGACATCCATAAATTCTTTCTCTTCCCAGAGAATTCTTTTGTTCAGCATGTAGGAGCGTCATGGTGACGTCTACTTGTGTATGTGTAACGTGATACTATGATATGACGCTTATGATTCTATTTTGTAATTACCTTTCGTATTTTGAATTGTTTCTGTTTGACAGAACAATCATTGTGCTGGGATTGTCTTAATTCATATACTGTAACAGGAGAGGTGTAGAGTTATTTGTCACTATGATTCAGTAAATCAACCGAGATTGGTATATGTAATAACAGAGATTTTACTGTTAAGAAGACCGAATGGCTGACCCCGCGTCGTGAACTTTGTTCCACTGAAGGGGATTCCTTTGTTTTGTTTTTTCGACATATTTTACATTGCCTTTATCTATAGGCTGTATTCAGTCTCCCTTTCAAAATGCCTAGAATGTTAATCCTATTGAGTAGTAATACAAAATGTTCAAACGAGATTTCGGAGAAACCACATAGAACCCCACACGGATGAATCTGGGTACAATATCAAAACGTCATTCTCTGGTATTTCGGTCATATCGCATTGTCAGTCATAATCGGAAGAGTCATGTATTTTTCCATTCTTTTTATATTATTTATCTCCGCTGTTCCGGACAAACAGTCATGTATTTTTCCATTTTTCATAAACATCTTTATGTTAGATGATATTTCATACACATCCTGCTTGCCCAGACTTCACGAAGTGGAGTATAGCTTCCCGCACACGTGTACCCTGGGGACGTACGACTTTTCAGGTCTTTATCTAGACCTGCTCAAGTTTGAAGCAAATGTCAATAAAAAATCCCAGATTGAAATTATTACAAATTTCCCAATTCATGTTTATGTACATGTAGTTAATGTTAGGTTGTGTAGATGTAACTGTACCACTGATAACAGGACCGATACAGAGGAGGAGGCTTCAAGCCATATTTTTGTATATGTGCAGTGTCAAAATACCTCAGAATACAGGAAAATGAGATCTTTTAAAAATCCCAAATTTGAACAAAATGACAATAATATTTCCCTTTTTGTCAGCCAAAGGCACTTGGTTTAAAATCATCGATGTATCCCTTTAGTATTATACCCTACAGTACAAAAGAAAGCGACATTAAAGGGGGTCCTACGTGGAGGTTAAGGGGGTCAAACGGGACAGTTAAAGGTGTCCTGCAGGAAAGTTAAAGGGATCCTAAGGGAAAGTTAAAGGCTTACTACAGGAAAATAAAAGGGTGTCCTACAGGAAAATGAAAGGGTGTCCCACAGGAAAATGAAAGGGTGTCCCACAGGAAAGTTTAAGGGGCACTACTGGAAAGTTAAACGCTTACTACAGGAAACTTAAAATGTGTCCTGCAGGAAACTGAAAGGGGACCTACTGGAAACTCAAAGGCCTCCTACAGAAAAGTTAAAGGGGCACTACTGGAAAGTTAAACGCTTACTACAGGGAACTTAAAATGTGTCCTGCAGGAAACTGAAAGGGGCCCTACTGGAAACTCAAAGGCGTCCTACTGGAAGATTTAATGGGGCTCTACTGGAAAGTTAAAAGGGGTTGTCCTGGAGAGTTGAAGAGAAAGGGCGTCCTACAGGAAAGTTAAATAGGACCAAACTGGAGAGTTAAAGGCGTCCTACAGGAAAGTTAAATAGGACCAAACTGGAGAGTTAAAGGCGTCCTACAGGGAAGTTAAATAGGACCAAACTGGAGAGTTAAAGGCGTCCTACAGGGAAGTTAAATAGGACCAAACTGGAGAATTAAAGGCGACCTACAGGAAAGAGAAAGGGCGTCCTACGAGAAAGTTAAATGGGATTCGACAGGACATTTACAGAGACACAAGTCTGCCCAGGATGACGATTATTGCATCAAACTGTAAGCGGCGGCGTACAGTCCTTTCGGACACTGGTCCCCGTTGTCCTTGGATATTCATTGCAGTCCGTGATGCCCCGACTGAGATGAGATAATGGTCCGGAAAGGTGTAATCGTGCCGCCATCTTCCTGACCACCTGATTGTTGTCACGTGGACGTTGTTAAGTCGCCTGGCAACAGCAGGAGCTGCATAAAAGAACGTCTTTCGGACTATATCGTTAGGTGTATCCCAAACATTGCGCTTGCCTGCTTTCTTTTCCTTTTCATTATTATTTCATTCATATGTACCGTGTAAGGAAACGATGTACCTTTCTAAACGAGACATGGTTTCTGATACGTTTCCTCGTGTAGAATCTTTACAAGCACATAGACGATTTCATATTCTTCTTCCGTACGCAGACTTCTTTTTGTGAAAGCATTGTATTTTAAGTAAATGCATGCGTATTACGCTCTGGTAAATTTCGAAAGATAACTGTTTGGGAGTTGTGATTTCTCAAAGTAAACCAACAGCATCATCTCTCAAGTTTCGGCATCTTTCAATGTGCCAACCGTACTTTGGACTTCACTCCACAGTCTAGTGCCCGACCCTCTGTGTTGAAGGATGGGACTAGATCCCTATGTGAGGGTGAGGAGATCGACCCTCTGTGTTAAAGGATGGGACTAGATCCCTATGTGAGGGTGAGAAGATCGACCCTCTGTATTAAAGGATGGGACTAGATCCCTATGTGAGGGTGAGGAGATCGACCCTCTGTATTAAAGGATGGGACTAGATCCCTATGTGAGGGTGAGAAGATCGACCCTCTGTATTAAAGGATGGGACTAGATCCCTATGTGAGGGTGAGGAGATCGACCCTCTGTATTAAAGGATGGGACTAGATCCCTATGTGAGGGTGAGAAGATCGACCCTCTGTATTAAAGGATGGGGCTAGATCCCTATGTGAGGGTGAGGAGATCGACCCTCTGTATTAAAGGATGGGGCTAGATCCCTACGTGAGGGTGAGAAGATCGACCCTCTGTATTAAAGGATGGGACTAGATCCCTATGTGAGGGTGAGAAGATCGACCCTCTGTATTAAAGGATGGGGCTAGATCCCTATGTGAGGGTGAGAAGATCGACCCTCTGTATTAAAGGATGGGGCTAGATCCCTATGTGAGGGTGAGGAGATCGACCCTCTGTATTAAAGGATGGGACTAGATCCCTATGTGAGGGTGAGAAGATCGACCCTCTGTATTAAAGGATGGGACTAGATCCCTATGTGAGGGTGAGGAGATCGACCCTCTGTATTAAAGGATGGGACTAGATCCCTATGTGAGGGTGAGAAGATCGACCCTCTGTATTAAAGGATGGGACTAGATCCCTATGTGAGGGTGAGAAGATCGACCCTCTGTATTAAAGGATGGGACTAGATCCCTATGTGAGGGTGAGGAGATCGACCCTCTGTATTAAAGGATGGGGCTAGATTCCTATGTGAGGGTGAGAAGATCGACCCTCTGTATTAAAGGATGGGGCTAGATCCCTATGTGAGGATGAGGAGATCGACCTTCTGTATTAAAGGATGGGGCTAGATCCTTATGTGAGGGTGAGGAGATCGACCCTCTGTATTAAAGGATGGGGCTAGATCCCTATGTGAGGGTGAGAAGATCGACCCTCTGTATTAAAGGATGGGGCTAGATCCCTATGTGAGGGTGAGAAGATCGACCTTCTGTATTAAAGGATGGGGCTAGATCCTTATGTGAGGGTGAGGAGATCGACCCTCTGTATTAAAGGATGGGGCTAGATCCCTATGTGAGGGTGAGAAGATCGACCCTCTGTATTAAAGGATGGGGCTAGATCCCTATGTGAGGGTGAGAAGATCGACCTTCTGTATTAAAGGATGGGGCTAGATCCCTATGTGAGGGTGAGAAGATCGACCCTCTGTGTTAAAGGATGGGACTAGATCCCTATGTGAGGGTGAGAAGATCGACCCTCTGTATTAAAGGATGGGGCTAGATCCCTATGTGAGGGTGAGGAGATCGACCCTCTGTATTAAAGGATGGGGCTAGATCCCTATGTGAGGGTGAGGATATCGACCCTCTGTAAAGGTGAGAACATCAACCCTCTGTTTTAAAGGATGGGACTAGATCCTATGATCCCTGTATAAGGACGACGACATGATCCCTGTGTAAGGATGAAGACATGATCCCTGTCTAAGGATGACGACATGATCCCTGTCTAAGGACGACGACATGATCCCTGTGTAAGGATGAAGACATGATCCGTGTGTAAGGATGAAGACACGATCCGTCTGTAAGGGGGAGAATATCTTAAATCGAGTCACTCTCAAACACAAGCTTATCTTCGTTGTCAACAAACGACTTTGTAGTTTGTCTTGTGAACCCGGAGTCACACGTCTTCCTGGTCCACAGTACTTCCCGGTCCAACCACTGCACTGACGGCCCCACACACAACATGTGCTACCCACGGGGCATGTAAATGGAATAAAAGATCTTTCATTTAAACGAATGAAGTCTGAAACGTCCTTCTTTTGTTATACCTTGCTGTTATTTATTTAAAGGTAACTTTCTGTCTATAAAATATACTTGTAGTTTTTCATAATACAGAACAGGTGCATATATTGACTTCAAATTCTGTTCCCGTGATGTTAAGTAGATCCCTTTTCTCACATTGTGAAAAGTGTGTTTAGAGTGTTATCACATACAAGACATGTTAGATCTAAACGTGTTTAGAGTGTTATCACATACAAGACATGTTAGATCTAAACGTGTTTAGAGTGTGTATAATGTAAATTCTTAAACGGTATACACATTTGGTGTTTTATATCTAATCACTTTTTTAAGGTCTGAACACATGAAATGTCATCTTCTCACAGCTTAAACACAACCGCATAATCTAAACATATTTACGACAAGTACATATAAATGCTGATTATCCTAATAATCTAAACACGTTTAGAATGTAAGACTGCTGAAGACCTATTCTACCCCGGATCTTCACGAGTCAGCAGTAGTAGTTGTGGTGGAGGTGCTGGTAGTAGTTGTGGTGGAGGTGCTGGTGGTAGTAGTGGTACAACGGTTTGGAAAAGTTTAAACTTCATTGCTGCTCGGTTCGGTACATCTTCCCGAGGCAAGAGAGTTTACTGACTTTAAAAGTCCAGTTTCCATCCTTGCCGAACTAGGCTGGAATTCCTGGGCTCGATCGTAGCGCCACCAGTGGCTACTATGAGTAATGTCCGTTCTATGCCTCTCCTATTGACCAATCATATTCAACCTCTTGTATCACTTGCATTTGCTTCAAACAAAACGGTGGCGCCCAATCAAGACGATCTGATCGATAATCAAGATCTATATTGTGATCAAACGAGTCTTACATCGCGAAGTGCATCAAATCACGTGAGCACCTTGATTAAAAACATGAAAAGATATAGAAAATATCTGTTGACAACGAGTTAGCGGTGCACATGCTTTGCAAATCCTGCAGTCGACCGAAATGAGCATGACGCTTTACGAACCGGATTTCGATTTCGGTGCGCGATTTTGATTGGACTATGCATAGACTCGTTAGTCCAGCCAAAATGTAACTCCATAGTACCAGCCTAGTTTGGCAAGGGTGGAAACTGGACTTTTATAGTCAGTTAACTCACTTGCCTCGGGAAGATAGGTTCGGTATGGCTTCGAGGTATCCATACGAGACAGACGAATTCAATATCATTTAAATGCACCGAGGAGTAGATGCAGTTTGTTGTAGTCGGCCTCACAAGCAGGCTCTCAAGTGTCTCAGTAACTGTTAGGGGCAGACCATGTGATAGTTATTCTCCATGCCTCAGGGTTTACAAATTTGTTCTTGAAGCGGTCACCGAAAACACACATATGATATGGTCTTACTCTCTTTTCCAGACTTCCTCCAACAAATGTTGACCACGTGCACCCTGTAAACAGGCAGAAGGTAGATATCACCAAGGGCTTTGTTTTGATTTCTATGTTACCAAATATGAATGTTTATATTCATCATGTGTGACAACCACCCCCGTCTGGTTGTATTGGGCAGGTGAGATATGAGGTGAGGTGAGGTGAAATTGGGTTTAACGTCGCGTCCAAGATTATTTTATTTAGCGTGTGTGTCTGCTTGTACTGGTCTGTACTAATGCCGATTATAGTGCAAGCCCACTGAGATACGATGTCGCAGTTTAACATGAATACCCCCCTCAGACGCAGTATACTGACTCCGAGCCCCCTTATACCGAGCGTCAGACAGGGTCACAACAAGTACGTTGTTTTAACGTCTTTTGGTATGACGCGGCAGGGATTCGAACCCCGGACCTTTCGCTCCCCGTGCGAACGCTCTACCACTAGACCACGGAGGCGGTCCTGTGTGTAGCAGGACATATAGGACTGACTATTTCGGTGTTAATGTGGTTTTTGATCTGAAACATCCGAAACAAGAGCACATCTGTGTAATGTTAATAATGCAGGGATATTCTTCTTAAATATATAAAATATATATCTTTAACCTATCCCGTGAGTTGTAATAATTACTCCTGCCGTAAACAAATGTGAAACTTTGGTGAATGTATCTTTTTACTGATAAGTAGAAGTTGATAAATACATACCAAGGTAGTCCAGTGGTTATAACGTTCGCCTATCACGAATAGGATCTGTGTTCGACTTTCAAATGGATACAACGTGAGATGAAATTGGATGGCGTCCACCGCCGTCATATTGCTGGATTTATGCTTAAATCGGCGTCAGGGGTGGCGCAGTCGTCTCATGCGCCGCATTTCGCTGTGTAGAGTTGTGTCCATTGAATTGGGCACGCCAGAAACCTATGATTGTGGGTTCAAATCCCGTTCGCCCAGATTATGTTTCTAGGTTTGTCAGCACCATACCCGTGCTCTTGGGTTTTACCAAAGCGGTAAACGTCTGAGACCTGCTTCACTTGGGGCTTCCCTCCCATTTAGCTGACGCGCCTGATGTTGGAATAACTGGATTATTGTTCAAAGCGGCGTTGAACCCAACTCACTCACTGATGCGAGGCAGGAGGTTAAATACAGTGTATTGTATACTATGTTCCAGGACATGCTTGATCGGACTTGTGAAGCAACACTGTCTGCAACTCTGGAGAAACTCAAGTGACACCAGGGTGGTAAGTAACTTACTGATATACAGTAAACTACGGTTATAACGAACTCAAAGGGACCACTAATTGTAGTTCGTAATAACCGTTGTTCGGTTTAAGCATATATACAGAATATATATAACAAATGTCCGGCACTAAAACATAAGTTCGTTATATCGGTAAGTTCGTTATAAACGTATTCGTTATAAACGTAGTTTACTGTTATTTGTTCAGTGAATTCCGTTAAACTAAAATCTAGAGACTACATTACATTTAAATTCATAACATATCAAAACATCAAATAACGAGACACCTGATCATTACTGTCACGACACATTCGTATATCCGTGAAATAAACCCAGTGTAGATGGAGAAACTAACTAGGTTGTACTTTTGTTTTTGTGGGTTGCCCGACGTGTTAGGCGCCGTAAATCCGCTGAGGAGAGTTGCCTCCCTTCTGTATGCCCGAATTTCAGTGATCGTGGGTTCGAGCCCCAGATTCGTCCTTATAAGTCTTGGTTTGTACCAAACCCGTACTCATCTCTGACCAGCATCACTTTGGGCTTCCCTCCAGGCCAAGCTGACACACCGTGATATCACTGAAATGTGTTCAAATAGGCGTTAAAAACACCGTCCACGTATGTCCTGCAATGTAGTACATGTACGTGTAGAGGCCTTACCCAAACATGGCCATATAACTCAGTAATAAGATCATGACGCGATAATTTGATTCTAGGGCAACAATGAGTGAGTGAGTGAGTTGGGTTTAACGCCGCTTTTAACAGTATTCAAGTTATATCAGCCCGAAGTGATGCAGGTCCCAGACGTTTACCACTTCGGTGAAACCCACGAGCACGGGTATGGTGCTGACAAACCTAGAAACATAATCTGGGCGAACTGGACAACTATGAGTCACCAAACCATGCAAATCATTGACATGAGATACTGTTTATATAATGTACTTTGATATACTTTACAGGATATACATGACGAAAATATATATATATATACGGTCATTCTATAAAATATGTATTACATACTCTACTTAAAATATCTCCAAGATACTATTTATATTGTAATGACTCGTTTTATCTAACAGGATAAATAGAGACATGAATATATCAACAGGATACACATAGATCTATATCATGCTCAGTGAGTGAGTGAGTTAATGCTTTACGTCACATCGGCAATATTTCAGCCATATCGTGACGAGCATCATGCTCAGTAAAGAAACAACCTTGCATGATATACGAGAATACCTTATGGGCGCATTTCCGCCTCCTACAGGATCTTTTCGTGAACGTTAATATAACAGTGACAATTACAGATCTCCCGCGTCATGCATGGTACAATGTATACTATTAATAACTACACGTGTACAGGATCTGCTTATTGGCTCACGTTCTGTAGTATTGTTCGCTCGTCACGCAGAAAGCCCGGGTTCGATTCTCACATGGGTACAATGTGTGAAGCCCATCTCTGGCGTCTCCCGACGTGATATTGCTAGAATATTGGTTAAAGCGGCGTAAAAACCAACTCACTCACGTTTGTCCTCACTATTCAGAAAAAAAAACATATGTGAGTGCTGACAACATCATGTTTATGAGTACAGTTTTTAGCGGTAGTCCCGTTCAACACAGCGGTCGTCGTCTTTAAGCGTTGAGCTTGCCGTGTAGGACAGGGCCTAGATTCAGGGTACATTGAATATCCTTCCACATTTCACGATTTGGGGAACCTTACGGGAATGTCATGGTCTACCTCCGTCTACTCGGAGTAAAAAATGAAGTTGTCTCCATTCATGAAAAAAGGCCTTGATTTTCGTATAAAAATTAAGTAAAGATCAAAGTTTAATCACCCTGGTGTTGAATGCAAGGTCTGACGATACATACAGGTTAAATAACTAAATGGCAAAATACGGAAGAAAGACGCTTAACCGATCATTAGTTCAAAATGATCAACTCAAAAGTGAGACTGACATAAGATTAAATGTCAACCATGTTCATGTCATAAAGTATTTCCTGCATGCACGGGAAGTGAATAGATTTTGTTCCCTGTGAATCCACTTGTGGCCGTAACACATGAAACACAATGCCACTTGAGTAGCAGTGGCGTCGGAGCACATAGAGTGACCGGGGGTGGGTGGAGTAATTGTGACTTGGAGATTCCAAATTAAACACAAACGGTATCATTTCAGATTTATTTCTCTTCAGGAAATTATAAAGGTATCCAGTTGCGACTGGTGAGTTTCCAAAAGCACCTGTAATTTTTCATACTTCAGACGGGATATGAGGTTTGTTGAAGTAATGTCAAATATATGGTGGAAATAAAATTTGTTTCAGTATTGTGTTAAACAAATTAGAGTCTAATCCAGATCATATGATTACTAAATGAAAGCTGGTGCTTAGTTGTGTTCAGTCCGGTGACTCAGATTGTCACTGGACCAACTGTTCATGCATCACATTGTCTACTCGACTGAAAATAAGGACATTCAAAGAGAAAGTGAAACTCCTCATCAATAGAACGTGTGTTACACAGTTTATACACAACACATTTGGGATCATCATATGCTTTAAACCGTTTACACTGCCCTTTCAACTTATGTGATGCGCAACATAACTTTTATACTCTTAATAAATCCTTAGAAGGAAATAATTCTATTGTATACTTTTCAACACCCATTATAGTTTTGAAACCACAATACAAAATTTAAAATAAGATATATATCTTATTATGCCAATTCTGCTAATCTACATCTATACATCTCTGTGAAAACATGCTCAAAAAAGCTCTAACACTACCACAGTCCTGAGTGATCCAGAAAAATGAGAAACAGCTCTAACACTACCACAATCCTGAGTGATCCAGAGTAATCCTGAGTGATCCAGACAAATGAGAAACCAGTTACAAATAATTACTTACGAAAGTGAGAGACCCATTATCATAAACAAATCCGCAACATATTATAGCAAGCCCTTAGATACCTGGAACGTTCCACGTGAAGAAGTCTGTACCAATAACCTATACATTGCCTATAATAAACGCACATATAACGTGTGTCTACTTCACCTAATTGAGCACTGTAGAGAAACCCAGACACCTGTTAAAATAATTACCCTGTATCTTTTCTATTGAATCCCTAAACGTAAATCCCCAAATTTCTGAACCATACAATACGATTGGTGCAAGTTTAGTAACGCATATATTTTGGATGAAACCATATGACAGAGACGAATAAGTCCTCAATAATCTATGAGTTCCACATGCTTCAGACCACACTAACCTTGAAGAAAAAATAATACCTAGATATTAATAACAAGTCGGTTTTCATTTCAGCTCCAGAATACAACAACTTTTCTACACGACGCAAATAACCGCCATTTCTAAACACGGTTATATTAGACTTATCCAAATTTACCTCTTATCCCCATTTCAAACAATAGACTTCTAAGAAATTTAATCTTTGCAAACCAATCACAGAATCGTCCATCAAAGCAATGTCATCAACAAATAAAAGTGACAGAACACTAACTCATTTATAAAGAGAATAAATAAAACTGGTCTCAGCATGCAACCTTGGCGTACACCTTAATAATTTTGTAAAACATATTCAAACCAAACATTGAGCGTTATAAACGAAACATGTCCTCTCAATCTTCTCACATGTAACAGAGATTTGATTTTTCTCCAAAATACTTTACAATCCTTGTCAGCAATAGCAGATTTAATGTGAAAAAGCAACGTTATAAAATTGTTGGGTATAGAAAGATTATGACGTCACATCCTTTGCATTCTTATTGGTCATGAGTATTGTAAATGAGACACTCACTATCCTTAAACACTAAAGGATGAAGAACCTAAAAATGCTGTGTCACTTTGTGGCATTTTGCTGTTGAACTTAAAACAAGCGTATGGTGGGGATTGAAGGGTGTTTCAGCGATGAGGAGGGAGGGGGTTCGAGAGTGATATGTTCGTTATTCTTTAAAACATATTCACCGTTGTACACTTCAAGGGGTGGCAGAACAGCCTTTGAAAACAATCCCTGCTTTCAGCTAACAATTTGTGGAATTAACATCCTCGACGAGTACCTTGCTTTTGACCGTGATCGTTGAGTGGGCTCGGCATTGGATTTAACGTTTGCACTTATATTGTAACGCGCACTAGGGTGGGTGGGTGGTTGTGCGTGTTCGTGTTCGTGTGCGTGTGTCTGATTGTACTCATGCCGGGTTTATTGTGCTAGTCCACATATCCCACTCAGACACAATACACTGATTCCGAGCCGACCCGTCCTTGTCTCAGCCGAACCCGACCTTCCGCTCACCAGGCAGACGCTCCATTCACCAGACCACGGGGACGGTCTCCTTTGACAGTGGATAACGGTAATATTGTTGTGAAGTTGCTGAAGAATATTTGCAAAATTTCATTTCAGTCCCGAGGAATATTTCTTGATTTTAAAAATGATCTATTTCAATATTATATCATAAGCTGAAATAAAAGGATATGTATGTAAGGGTTGTAGCACAGGTTCATACATAACAAAGAAGTATATTGTAACATATCAATAGTTTTAAGTGAGTTCATAGACAATTGTTAAAGTGTCCAATGTGCTGAACGTGTTCAATGGGTTACAAGATCGCCAATATCGTTGATCGACTTTATGATACCACGAGACAGTCTTAACCATTGCGTTGTATTAAATCATTAACGTGAGGCAATGACACACTGTAAACAGACCAGTAACCCATGCGAATGCTATGTTAAACCTATATATCATCATCATCATCATCATCATCATCATGGCAAATATGCAGACCTCGCTTTCGAAATGTCACGCTTGCATCCCAAGTACCAAGTTGTTCATCTCCCCATTGTTCTCGCTGCCTTAGGTTTGGTACCTCCCAATCTGTTGACTGACATTGGGAGAGTGCCCGGGTTTACTACCAGGAATACAGTCCTTCTGACAATCTGGGTAATGCAGAAGACTGCAGTGTTGGGGAGTCTTCACATTCTCCGAAATGTTCTGGGTG